GTAAACTACCAGAATTTTGAAGATGTTATGTAATCTATCACAAGACATCTAGTGGCCCTTTTGGGTATTTCAGATTATCACAGGTTTCTCTAATAATCTCTGGCCCTCCGTGATATCAAAATTATAGTTTTAAGCATGTTTTGAGGCAATACAGTGTTTGTAAACAAAGTAAATGTAAATAAACATTGGAGTAAAACAAGCTTCTATTTTGGGTTCTGATGGGGTGTGACAGTTCAACTAAGGTCATGAGAAGTTTTAAAATAGCTACAGAGTTCAATGGCTGTGATGGGAGAATGAGGATGGATCAACAACATTGTATTGACTCCACAATAATGATCTAAATGACAGAGTGAAAGAAGTATAAACAATATTCAAAAACATGCATATACAGTGGGGAGAACAAGTATTTGATACACTGCCGATTTTGCAGGTTTTCCTACTTACAAAGCATGTAGAGGTCTGTCATTTTTATCATAGGTACACTTCAACTGTGAGAGACGGAATCTAAAACAAAAATCCAGAAAATCACATTGTATGATTTTTAAGTAATTATTTTGCATTTTATTGCATGTCATAAGTATTTGATCACCTACCAACCAGTAAGAATTCCGGCTCTCACAGACCTGTTAGTTTTTCTTTAAGAAGCCCTCCTGTTCTCCACTCATTACCTGTATTAACTGCACCTGTTTGGACTCGTTACCTGTATAAAAGACACCTGTCCACACACTCAATCAAACAGACTCCAACCTCTCCACAATGGCCAAGACCAGAGAGCTGTGTAAGGACATCAGGGATAAAATTGTAGACCTGCACAAGGCTTGGATGGGCTACAGGACAATAGGCAAGCAGCTTGGTGAGAAGGCAACAAATGTTGGCGCTTTTATTAGAAAATGGAAGAAGTTCAAGATGACGGTCAATCACCCTCGGTCTGGGGCTCCATGCAAGATCTCACCTCGTGGGGCATCAATGATCATGAGGAAGGTGAGGGATCAGCCCAGAACTAAACGGCAGGACCTGGTCAATGACCTGAAGAGAGCTGGAACCACAGTCTCAAAGAAAACCATTAGTAACACACTACGCCGTCATGGATTAAAATCCTGCAGTGCACGCAAGGTCCCCCTGCTCAAGCCAGCGCATGTCCAGGCCCGTCTGAAGTTTACCAATGACCATCTGGATGATCCAGAAGAGGAATGGGAGAAGTTCGTGTGGTCTGATGAGACATAAATAGAGCTTTTTGGTCTAAACTCCACTCGCCGTGTTTGTAGGAAGAAGAACGATGAGTACAACCCTAAGAACACCATCCCAACCGTGAAGCATGGAGATGGAAACATCATTCTTTGGGGATGCTTTTCTGCAAAGGGGACAGGACGACTGCACCGTATTGAGGGGAGGATGGATGGGGCCATGTATCACGAGATCTTGGCCAACAACCTCCTTCCCTCAGTAAGAGCATTGAAGATGGGTCGTGGCTGGGTCTTCCAGCATGACAACGACCCGAAACACACAGCCAGGGCAACTAAGGAGGGGCTCCGTAAGAAGCATCTCAAGGTCCTGGAGTGGCCTAGCCAGTCTCCAGACCTGAACCCAATAGAACATCTTTGGAGGGAGCTGAAAGTCTGTATTTCCCAGCGACAGCCCCGAAACCTGAAGGATCTGGAGAAGGTCTGTATGGAGGAGTGGGCCAAAATCCCTGCTGCAGTGTGTGCAAACTTGGTCAAGACCTACAGGAAACGTATGATCTCTGTAATTGCAAACAAAGGTTTCTGTACCAAATATTAAGTTCTGCTTTTCTGATGTATCAAATACTTATGTCATGCAATAAAATGCAAATTAATTACTTAAAAATCATACAATGTGATTTTCTGGATTTTTGTTTTAGATTCCGTCTCTCACAGTTGAAGTGTACCTATGATAAAAATGACAGACCTCTACATGCTTTGTAAGTAGGAAAACCTGCAAAATCGGCAGTGTATCAAATACTTGTTCTCCCCACTGTATGTATGCAGCAAGGCACTAAAGCAATACTGCAAAAAAACACGGCAAAGGAATACACTTTTTTGCCTAAATGCAAAGCCTTGTGTTTGGGGCAAATCCAACACAACACATCACTGAGTAACTGCCTCCTTATTTTCAAGCATGGTGGTGACTGCATCATGGTATGGGTATGCTTGACATTGGCAAAGACTGGGACGTTTTTTAGGATGAAAAGAAACGTCATGGAGCTAAACACAGGCAAAATCCTAGATGAAAACTTGCTTCAGTCTGCTTTACTAATTGTAGCCAATTCAGTTGCAGTAATTATTTTGCAGATTTTTTGGTAATTCCAGTAGGTGTCCTTCACGTCAACATTATTGTGTTTTGATGTATTTCTGATACCTTTTAAGACTTTTTCTGGTAGATGTTTTCTAAGACCCCTTTTCCATCAGTTTATTCCGAAATCAATGCCTTAACTTATGCCACATTTTTAAGATGGAAAATGGTTAAAAAATATATCTATGCCTTAAATTCCCCAAAATATAGACTTGTAGCTTTAATTTGATATACTCCTATGAACTTCACATATTGGTACTCGTGGGTCCTTTTTGATGGAAATGCCTATATTTGGGATCCAGCATCACTTTCTCTCTTTTCTCTCATTTTCTTTTAGTCTCCTTCTACCCTCATTCTTTCTCTTCTCACTCTCCTTTCTTCTTTTGCCAGCTTTCTTTCCCTCTTTCTCACTTTTACACAAGCTTTCCTTTTCACACACACACAAGCTTTCTGGCTCATAAAATCTTTCTTGTAAACCCCCCTTTTTTACGCCACTCTTGGTATCTCACTACATCTCCTTCCCCCTCTCATATCTCCCCATTTCCATCCTTCTTTCCACAGTCGGCCCCTCTCTCTTCCCCCCTCCTGTGCTCCCCCTCTTCTCTTCTCTCCTCTCTTTTTCTCACACACAGTGGAGAACAGAGGGCTCAGTGTGTGGGTTGACAAGGGTGAGCCGTGGTGATGGGAGGGGGTGTGAGGCGGCTGAAAGAAGGGAGACTGAGGGACAAAAGAGCCCAGGCCAGAGAGACGTGTGTGTGTGTGACACTGGAGACTGGATTAATAGCCCGCCGTTGAGCTCCTCTAGGGAGCTTTTGGTTGAAGTGTTGCTCTCCTTGCTCTAGAGCTCAGGTGGGACCCGACACACACACACACACACACACACATGGCGAGATGGCAGAGACACCACCAGCTCAAAAGCTTCTCTTCCACTGCTTCCCTGGCCACCCATCTGTCTAGAGATTTCACTATGACCTGGACTTGCCAGGATGTTTTAAACCGTAGCCAAATTCAGCCAGGACCTGCCAAATTCACATGGATGGAATTTCAGTAAGAAGCTGTTATTATCTCAGTCTCAGAGGTGTTTGTGTGTGTATGGGATATGAGTGGGAGTGTATTTTGTGTGTGAATGTGTGTAAATATATGATGAGCTTTTCCGTCAGTTGGAATGTGTGGAGCGTGTTTTTATGTCTGAAAATGGCCTTTCTGATTTGGTGTTTGTGTTTTTGTGCGCTTGCATGCATGCTTGACTGTGATTGTGTTTACTTTCGTGTGTGTGTTTGTGTTTGTCTGTGGCACCGAGCCAGCCCCTGTGAACAGCCCCTCTTTGTGAACACAGGATGTATGGTGATGGTGGTGCTATAGGTCTCCAGACAGCCATGAGAAAACAACTCCACCAGACACTGACTAGTCACCTTATCAACAAACCTTAACACAATGCCCCCTCAACACAGACAACAATCCAGCAGCACCAACATATGTTTTATTTTCACATACACCGGATAGGTGCAGTGAAATGTGTTGTTTTACAGGGTCAGCTATAGTAAATTAGGGTTACGTGCCTTGCTCAAAGGCACATCGACAGATATTTCACCTTGTTGGCCCGGGTATTCAAACCGGTAACCTTTCGGTTACCAGCCCAACGCTCTAACCCGCTAGACTACCTGCCGCCCTGCAACAACCCCACAACATTGCAAACCAACCGAAACAAAAAAAACAACACCAGCAACACATGACTTCAGTCCTAATTTATTGCAACACCCCTAGAATATCTATGTAACCAATGGGTTAGGGTTGTCAGGGTTACTGGTGGTGGTGGTTCTATGGTGGTGTCGCTCTCATCAGGGCCTGCCCTGGGTTAGGGTTGTCAGGGTTACTGGTGGTGGTGGTTCTATGGTGGTGTCCCTCTCATCAGGGCCTGCCCTGGGTTAGGGTTGTCAGGGTTAGTGGTGGTGGAAGGGAAACCACTGGAGGAACAGACATCTGTCTGATCAGTATAGCAAGAGGAGGACCTGGAAATGTGTCTTATTTTGGAACCGTTAGCTGTACACCATGAGAAGAGTTTGTGAAGTGATGTGCTGTTGAAGTGTGAGACTGGCAGCATTATTTAATGACTAAGTCGCTCTGCATAAGAGTGTCTGTCTGCTACATTAAACTGTCTGCTTATGGGACAGTCCAGAGTCTCCAGACTGGTCTTCTGCACTCCACTTTCTCTCTGTGTGAATACCTCAGCATTTGCCCTCTTATCTCCTCGGGGAATAACTAGGGAACAGAAAGGGCCTGCTAAAGAGATTATACTACAGACAGGCAGAGGAGATCTGATTGGTTGTCAGTTCAGGACTGAGACTTCTCCTCTGGGGTTAGACTACAGACGGAGGAAGAAAGATGTCATGCTGCTAGCCTCTACTCCTCCTTCCTCTATTCTTTATGCAGGAGTTTCTGTTGCTAGGGATTTTATTGACTCACTCTGTTCCTCTTTCTCCTTCTCTCTTTCGTCTTCCTTATTTACTCCTCTCCTTTCCCTCTGTTCTTTTTACTCATCCTCCCCTCCCCTCTCCACGTCTCATCTCCCCTCCTCTCCTTGCCACTTGTCTTCCTCTCTCCTCTCCTCTCCTCTCCTCTCCTCTCCTCTCCTCTCCTCTCCTCTCCTCTCCTCTCCTCTCCTCTCCTCTCCTCTCCTCTCCTCTCCAGGTAGTCGCCCCACGGTGCAGTATGTGTCCACTCTGTGTGAGCTGTCCCAGGCCCTCCAGCCCTACTACACCCAGGGCTACATCCTCACCACCCTGCATCCCATCATTCTCTCTGTTGGACGCACGCGTTCCCTGCCCTTCAGCCTGCTCTACCGAGCCATCCTGGCCCGCCCACGACCCAGGTACCAGACACACTAGCATGCATGCCTGGAGGCACGTACACATACACACAGACAGCCACTCCCGGTAGAATTGCCCCGATCTAGAACCAGTTTGAACCATTAGGGAGGTAAAACACAAAACTTAACTTAGATCTGTGCCTAGGCCAGGGGCCGTCACAACAACCCATAACCCCCCCACCATCCCTTAATCTGAGTCAGCTTTGGAACAAGCCACCCAGCCTTAACCCATCCAACCTGGTAAATAGATTAATGATAGATGATGTAGCTGCATATTTAATGCAACTTCAGTGGAAGGTCAGACTGCTAGTTAAGGGGGAGGGGTTAGGGGGAGACTCCTGGAGAGTATGTTTTGTGGGGCTCTCAGCTGCAGGGGTTGCCATTGGGTAGAAATGTACCCTGACAACAACAGCTCTCTCAGGGCCAATAGGGTCGCAGAATCTCACACATGGTGCCTCCTGTGTTATTGTCAAACCTGTAATATTAAACATTATTAATATTATTAAAATGTAAGGGTCTTTTATTTGAATATACATATACTACAGTATATATACACTACCTATTTAGTATGGTTTTTTATCCTTTATGTTTAGAAAGTAGTAGCCATCTCATGCATGGCAAATTAATGATTTATGAGTTCTGTCTGCAAACACTGACAAAAACAAATCAAGTATGAACTCTCCGGCTGGACAGGGCTCAGTAGCATGAGACCATTTACCAAGCTAATGCATACAGATTAGACATGGCTTTACAGTCTCAGAGTAGCTGACAGTCAAAACACATAAATTATGAATGAATGACCTGTATGCAGTTTGTGATTACCAGTTTGAACCGGCAATATAATGACTGTGAACGTCTGTGTCTCTGTTCTGTTCTCTCCTTCTGTTTTCTTCTGTTCTCTCCTCTCCTCTCTCTGTCTCCTAGTAAGCAGGTGGTGTCCATGTGTCACAGTGTTCCTGTGCTGAGGGTTGAGGAGTGGCCTATCCCAGGGGAGTCCCTGACGGGGGACACTGTTAGAGCACTCATCGACAGGGTGAACAGTAGTGCCCGGGGGGGAGTGAGGTTTGTGGGCTCAGTGCTCCAGCAGGCTGGAGGAGGGGGCAGTAACAGCAGGGTGCCTAGCCCCAGGAGAGGCTATCGATCCCCTCCACGCACCCCTCCAGGTACCCCTCCTGGAGAAGGAGAACTGGAGGATCACAGCCCTACCTACAGCCCTGGTGAGATACTAGTTTTCTTGTCTCTTTTCGTCCCGTGTCTCGTCTTCTCTTCTCCTGCCTTCTCTTCTCTTCTCCTGCCTTCTCTTCTCTTCTCCTGCCTTCTCTTCTGTTCTCCTGTCTTCTCTTCTCCTGCCTTCTCTTCTCTTCTCCTGCCTTCTCTTCTCTTCTCCTGCCTTCTCTTCTCTTCTCCTGCCTTCTCTTCTCTTCTCCTGCCTTCTCTTCTCTTCTCCTGCCTCCTCTTCTCTTCTCCTGCCTCCTCTTCTCTTCTCCTGCCTTCTCTTCTCTTCTCCTGCCTTCTCTTCTCTTCTCCTGCCTTCTCTTCTGTTCTTTTCTTTTCTTTTCTTGCCTCAGCTCCCAGGCTTCCATTTTCTCACGACTTGGAAGGATGGCAACGCGAGACTACTTCTCTTCTCTCCTCTCTTCTTCTCATCTGTCTCCTCACCTTAACAATGTTGACATGTGGGCTATATCTGCTATCTCCTCTTAACGTCACACAACCTCAAAATGCTGAACACATCCCAGCCACACTGTGGAGTCCTGGATATGTTTCTCCCTTTAACACTCTACTCATCCCCCTCTCCCCCAGTCTGTCAGTGTAGTTCAGTTGAACTCTGTGTTGTGTGGATGACACTGACTGATGGCCCTGGGGTAGGAGAGGCCTCTGCACATCAGTCAGGTAACCCTCATCCACCAAGCTGGGCACAACTCCTCACCACAGAGACAACCATACAGACTGACACGTCCTTGTCCTAAGTAGAGCGAGTTGAGTTCACATAACCTCATAGACTGCCAATGTCTGTTGTCTCTGTGCCTTTGTTCTTGTTCTCCTCCGTGATGGCTTGAACTGGCAGATTCATCTGACTCTCTACCACCTCTTCCCCTCTCCCTCCCTCCTCCCCCTCTCCTTCCCTCCCTCTTCCCCCTCCTTCCCTCCCTCTTCCCCCTCCTTCCCTCCCTCTTCCCCCTCCTTCCCTTTCTCCCTCTTCCCCCTCCTTCCCTCTCTCCCTCTTCCCCCTCCTTCCCTCTCTCCCTCCCTCCCTCCCTCTCTCCTTCCCCCTCCCTCTCTCCTTCCCCCTCCCTCCCTCCCTCTCTCCTTCCCCCCCTCCCTCTCTCCTTCCCCCCTCCCTCTCTCCTTCCCCCCTCCCTCCCTCCCTCCTTCCCCCTCCCTCCCTCCCTCCCTCTCTCCTCCCCTTCCCTCCCTCCCTCCCATCCTTCCCCCCTCCCTCCCTCCCTCCTTCCCCCCTCCCTCCCTCCCTCTCTCCTTCCCCCTCCCTCTCTCCTTCTCCCGCTCCCTCTCTCCTTCCCCCTCCCTCCCTCCCTCCCTCCTCTCCTTACCCCTCCTCCCTCCCTCTCCCTCCCTCCCTCTCTCCTTCCCCTCCCCTCCTCCCTCCCTCCTCGCTCCTTCCCCTCCCTCCCTCCCTCCCTCTCTCCTTCTCCTCCTTCCCCTCCCTCTCTACCTTCCACCTTCCTCCATCCCTCTTTCCCCCTCCCTCCCTCCCTCTCCTTCCTCCCCTCTCTCCCTCTCTCTCTCTCCCCCCCCCTCCTCCTCTCCCCCCCTCCCCCCCCTCCCCTCCTCCCCCCCCCTCCTCCCCCCTCTCTCCTCCCCCCTCCCCCCTCCCCCTTTCCCTCCCTCTCCCCCCCTCCCCCCCCCCCTCCTCCCTCCTCCCCCCCCCTCCCTCCCTCTCTCTCCCCCCCTCCCCCTCTCCTCCCCCCCCTCTCTCCCCCCCCCCCCCTCTCCTCCTCCCCCCCCCCCTCCCCTTTCCCTCCCCCCTCCCCCCTCCCTCCCTCCTCCCCTCTCCCCCCTCTCCCCCTCCCTTCTCCCCCCTTCCCCCTTTTCCCCTCCCCCCCCCCTCTCTCTCCCCCCCTCCTCCTCCCCCCCCTTCCTCCTCTCCTCCCCTCCCTCTCTCCCCCCTCCCCCCTCTCTCCCCCTCTCTCTCCCTCTCTCCCCCCTCTCTCCCCCCTCCCTCCCCCCCTCCCCCTCCCCCCCCTCCTCCCCCCCCTCTCTCCCCCCCCTTCCCCCCCCTTTCCCTCCCCTCTCTCCCCCCTCTCCCTCTTTTCCCCCCCTCTCTCCCCCTCCCTCCCTCCTCCTCCTCCTCCCTCCCCCTCTCTCTCCCCCCCCCTCCCCCTCTTCTCCTCCCTCCCCCCCCCTCCCCCCTCCCCCTCTCTCTCTCCCCCCCCGTCTCTCCCCTCTCCCCCCCCTCTCTTCTCTCTCCCCCCCTCCCCCTCTCTCCCCTCTCTCCTCCCCCCTCTCTCCCCCTCTTCCCCCCCTCCCCCTCTCCCCCTCCTCCACCTCTCTTCCCCTCCTCCTCCTTCCCCCTCTCTCCCTCTTTTCCCCTCCTCCCCCTCCCTTCCCTCTTCTCTTTCCCCTCCCTTTCCTTCCCTCTCTCTCTTCCCCTCTTTTCCCCCTTCCCCTTTCCCTCTCCCCCTCCCCCCCCCGCCTTCTTCCCCCTCCCCTCCCTCCCTTCCCCCCCCCCCCCTCCCTCCCTATCTCCCTCCCTCCCGTCCTCTTCCCCCTCCTCCCCCCCCCTCCCCCCCTCCCCCCCTACCCCCCCCTCCTTCCCTCTACCCCTCCTCCCTCCCCCCTCCCTCCTTCCCCCTCCTCCCTCTCTTCCCATCCCTCCCTCTCCCTCCCTCTCTCTCCTCTCTCTCCTTCCCTCTCCCTCCCTCCCCCCTCCTTCCCTCTCTCTTCCCCCTCCCTTCCCCTTCCTCCTTCCCTCTTCCCTCCCTCTTCCCCATCTCCTACCCCTCTCCCTCCCTCCCTCTCACCCTCCTTCCCCCCCTCCCTCCCCCCTCTTTCCCCCTCCCTCCCTCCCCCCTCTTCCCCCTCCCTCCCTCTTCCCCCCTCCCTCCCTCCCCCCTCTTCCCCCCTCCCTCCCTCTCTCCCTACCTCCCTCCCTCTTCCCCCTACCGTCCCCCTCCCTCCTCCTCTTCCCTCTCCCTCCCTCCCTCCCTCTTCCCCCTCCCTCCCTCCCCTCCCCCTTTCCCCTTTCCCTCCCCCCTCTCCCTCCCCCCCCCCTCCCCCCTCCATCTCTCTCTCGCAGACCTGAGGTTGCTGGTGTTCTTTCACTCATGGGCACCAGGCTGTGCTCCGCTGGACGCTCTGTCATGTCAGTACCACCAGGGGGCGCTGTCCATGCGCGTGTCCAGGAAGGGTCAGGTGGTCAGCGCGCTGGAGGCCGATTGGCTGGAGCTGACCGCAGCCTACTACCGCAAAGGCTGGTCATTGGTGGACTCGTTTGTGTACTGGGACACACCCAAAGGTATTGTCAAATACTTGAAAATCACGGAGTGTTTATCCAGCGTTAGGGGTACCGTACTCTTTGTCTCTGCTGATAACTTGGGGGCCCATTCACTTGCTGGTTTTCTGGAATCCTTTAATGTCGACAAATTTTGTAGATTTTGTTTGGTCAGCCGTAAGGATATTCAGACAACTGAATTAAGAAGTGGGTCAGTCCCGCTTAGGACAAAATTGTCCCACGAAGCCAATGTTTTGGAGCTTAAAGAAAATAAAACTATACTGTGTGTAGATGGTGTAAAAAGGGACTGTGTTTTAAACAGGTTGAGCTACTTTCACTCAACTACAGGGTTCCCACCTGACTTTCTTCACAACCTTTTAGAGGGAATTGTGCCTGTCCAACTTAGTTTGTGTCTGGGCAAGTTGATTTCTAATAAATACTTCACATTAGACAAGTTAAATAGTACAATTCAACACTTCCCATACTCATTCTCAGATAAGACTAACCGACCCCAAAGAGTAACTCAGACTTTTTGAGTTAATGGAACAGTTGGTGGAAACGGACATGAGAATTGGACTCTTTTAAGGCTGTTGCCCTTGATGATTGGTGAACTAGTCCCAGATAATAACAACACGTGGAGAGTACTTCTTAAGTTGAAATATATTGTAGAACTTTTGTCCTCGTCTGTGTACACAACTGAGTCGCTGTGCTATTTGGAATATAAAATCTCAGTCCATAGGCAGTTGCTGCAGGATGTGTTTCCTGATTTTCGTTTAAGACAAAAACATCATTTTTTGGAACATTATCCTTACCTCATCCGTTGCTTTGGACCTTTGGTTGACTGTTGGACTATCCGTTTTGAAGCTAAGCATAGTTTTTTCAAAAAGGTTGTCCGTGATGCGAACAATTATGAAAAACATTTTGCTCACATTAGCCACAAGACACCAACTCATGCTGGCTTACTTCTTGGACATGCCCAGCCTTTTTAAGCCCCCTTTGGAAGTTGTGAATGTGTCTCTCGTTTCTCCAGACATTTTGGATAAGACAATTAAACAAGCTATTAAGTTAAAATATAAAGATGTGGAATCTGTATCTCTTGCTTCCAGTGTTTCTATACATGGCACAAAGTACACTGAGGGCATGTTTGTGTCTATTGGTAAGACAAGTGGACTCCTTGACTTTGGCAAAATTGTGAAAGTTCTAATTGTAGCAGAAACGGCATCCTTCATTGTTGAACCGTATTTCACCTGGTACCTGGAACACCTCAGGTGCTATGAACTCACCAAGAAGCCTTCCAAATAACTCTTTGTAGCAGAACAACTAAACTGCTACTCCCCGCTCTCATCCTACCTTTTACAAGGAAGACTTCTGGTTTCACCCAAGAGCTTTCTACTCCACTGAGGGTTTTGTTAAGAAAATGTATTTTATGTTTGCCTTGTTAGTGAGAAGGTGATGAAGCGTACTTCATGAGCTGTAACCGAAAAACAACTGGCATTTGGAAAGTTTGAGGTGAGGGAGCAAGTGTGGTGGAACAAGAATTGTTAGCATTGTTAAGTATCTTGCTAGCTGGATCGAATTCTCCGTTAGCTAGTTAACTAGCTAACGAACTAACTACTATCTATGAACTAATGTTTTCCCTCTACAGTATGTGGTTAATTTACAGAATGAGAGAATAGGTGAAAATGAGGCATTGCTTGTTAAACAAGTGGATTCAGGGATGAAGTGTAGCTGGAGCTGGGCCTGGCTTAAGCTGAATGCCACTATAGAGGTGAAAGGAACACCACACACCTCTTTCTCACTTTATCAATATGGTGGATAAAAAGGGGTATGCCATGTGTACTCTCTGCCTGAAAGAGATCAATTTGCCAACAAAGGGTCTCATGCTCTGCTGCTGGCACATTGTAGAACAGATGTCCACAGGCAGAAAGTGTACAATGTAATAACGTGCAGTGTAGCCCAAAGCTATTGCTTTTGTTGTGTTGAACTTGACATACAGTTGTGTGTGAGTGAGGGGGGATTATTTGTTGTTTTTACTCAGTGAACATTATTTTTGCACACATACAGTGGGGAGAACAAGTATTTGATACAGTGCCGATTTTGCAGGTTTTCCTACTTACAAAGCATGTAGAGGTCTGTAATTTTTATCATAGGTACACTTCAACTGTGAGAGACGGAATCTAAAACAAAAATCCAGAAAATCACATTGTATGATTTTTAAGTAATTAATTTGCATTTTATTGCATGACATAAGTATTTGATCACCTACCAACCAGTAAGAATTCAGGCTCTCACAGACCTGTTAGTTTTTCTTTAAGAAGCCCTCCTCTTCTCCACTCATTACCTGTATTAACTGCACCTGTTTGAACTCGTTACCTGTGTAAAATACACCTGTCCACACACTCAATCAAACAGACTCCAACCTCTCCACAATGGCCAAGACCAGAGAGCTGTGTAAGGACATCAGGGATAAAATTGTAGACCTGCACAAGGCTGGGATGGGCTACAGGACAATAGGCAAGCAGCTTGGTGAGAAGGCAACAACTGTTGGCACAATTATTAGAAAATGGAAGAAGTTCAAGATGACGATCAATCATCCTCGGTCTGGGGCTCCATGCAAGATCTCACCTCGTGGGGCATCAATGATCATGAGGAAGGTGAGGGATCAGCCCAGAACTACACGGCAGGACCTGGTCAATGACCTGAAGAGAGCTGGGACCACAGTCTCAAAGAAAACCATTAGTAACACACTACGCCGTCATGGATTAAAATCCTGCAGTGCACGCAAGGTCCCCCTGCTCAAGCCAGCGCATGTTCAGGCCCGTCTGAAGTTTGCCAATGACGATCTGGATGATCCAGATGAGGAATGGGAGAAGGTCATGTGGTCTGATGAGACAAAAATAGAGCTTGTTGGTCTAAACTCCACTCTCCGTGTTTGGAGGAAGAAGAAGGATGAGTACAACCCCAATAACACCATCCCAACCGTGAAGCATGGAGGTGGAAACATCATTCTTTGGGGATGTTTTTCTGCAAAGGGGACAGGACGACTGCACCGTATTGAGGGGAGGATGGATGGGGCCATGTATCGCGAGATCTTAGCTAACAACCTCCTTCCCTCAGTAAGAGCATTGAAGATGGGTCTTGGCTGGGTCTTCCAGCATGACAACGACCCGAAACACACAGCCAGGGCAACTAAGGAGTGGCTACATAAGAAGCATCTCAAGGTCCTGGAGTGGCCTAGCCAGTCTCCAGACCTGAACCCAATAGAAAATCTTTGGAGGGAGCTGAAAGTCTGTATTGCCCAGCGACAGCCCCGAAACCTGAAGGATCTGGAGAAGGTCTGTATGGAGGAGTGGGCCAAAATCCCTGCTGCAGTGTGTGCAAACCTGGTCAAGACCTACAGGAAACGTATGATCTCTGTAATTGCAAACGAAGGTTTCTGTACCAAATATGTACCAAGAAAGTTCTGCTTTTCTGATGTATCAAATACTTATGTCATGCAATAAAATGCAAATTAATTACTTTAAAATCATACAATGTGATTTTCTGGATTTTTTGTTTTAGATTCCGTCTCTCTTTGTTGAAGTGTACCTATGATAAAAATTACAGACCTCTACATGCTTTGTAAGTAGGAAAACCTGCAAAATCGGCAGTGTATCAAATACTTGTTCTCCCCACTGTATAGCCTTGTGCACTTGATCGATGTCTACTATAGTGGCCACTATAATCGTAGCCACTATAATAGAGAAAAAATAGAATGCCTGTTTGTTTCATTCTATTTCTACTATAAGATGTTTTTTTTTCCCAAGTGCAATATTTAGATATGTGTGGTCTCAAGCGTTATATTATAAAGGCTGTCATAACTGCAATATCAATGTATTGTTTTTTTCTCTGGACTTCAGTGTCATTTGTAGTAAAGTCTAGGCAACAAATAACATTGGATTGCTTTTCTTACATTTATTTTATGTGTGTTAGGTTCACATTAACTTCTTTGTTGTTTAATGAGTTAAAACCTGCATTTCAAGAAGGGATCCAGCCTAAGTCACTAGAAATTAGCATTTTAAAGCTGATATTTATTTGTATTTTTTATCCCCCCTAGCAGGGATTTTTTTTGAATGTTTCAGTACAAAAACAAAAGTGTCACCTTTTTGGGCCCTCACCAGTTTGCATCCCTGGCGTAGGCACAGGTCTCATGACACAGCCAAGAAAGTAAAGAGGCACAAGCAACAACTCAGAGGGCCTTACATATGGGGCAGGCATAGCTGATTTAATGTTCTGCACATTTCAACAGCCATACAAAATCCTTGTATGTGACAAATTGAGCAAAGTGATATGAAAATTTGCCCAAAACTGCATATTTGCCCAACATACCAGTATTCAAAGCATATACTCTATTGCTTGAACAAAATGTATTAAACATGCTAATGTATTTGTATCCTGTAGCTCAGTTGGTAGAGCATGGCGCCAGGGTTGTGGGTTCGATTCCCACAGGGGGCCAGTATGAAATATGTATGCACTAACTGTAAGTCGCTCTGGATAAGAGCGTCTGCTAAATGACTAAAATGTAAATGTAAATACTAAGATATAGAGAGACTTAAGGTGGATGTAAGATTCATACTGTATAACAGCCACACCAGGCTTAAAAAGCGATAACAACATACATGCTGTGACATCTTGCTTTGGAGTTGTAAGGTCTCCAGCAAAGAGCATTAGTGTAATGATAGGCCAACATCTTGTGACACTTGTGACCTCTCTTCTCCGGAAGAGAGGACGGGATTAAATATATATACAAATAATAATATATGCCATTTAGCAGACGCTTTTATCCAAAGCGACTTACAGTCATGCGTTTAACATATGGGTGGTCCAGGGAATCGAACCAACTATCCTGGCAATGCAAGCAACATGCTCTATCAACTGAGCTACAGAGGACCAGAAAGTAGAAAGAGATTAAGAACACTTTGTCCTCATCCATCTCTCTCTCTCGCAAATCCACATGTTCCTCAATCATCCATCTCTCTCATTCTGTTACTTTATCAATTTTTGTGTTTTCTCAAATATCTGTTCTTGTTATGTTTTGTCTCCCCTCCCACTACATCCCCCGGATGAGTCACTTCCTGTCTCCCAGTCCCTCCTCTCTCCCTCCTCCTCCTCTCTCCCTCTTCCTCCTCCTCCTCCTCCTCTCCCTTCTTCCTCCTATCTCCCTCCTTCTCCCCCTCCTCTCCCTCTTGCTCCTCCTCCTCCTCCCCCCCCCCCCCCCCCCCCCCCCCCTTTTTCCCTCTTTCCCTCCTCCTACCTTCCTCCTCCTCCCTTATCTCCCACTGTGGCTATATTTGGAACTCTATTCCCAACCTCCCGACCTGGCTTCCTGTTGCGCTATAGACTGGCAGCAGCCGAGAAAATCCACATCATTTGTAGACATCTGGGGCCTGGGAATATAGCACACTGGGGTCTCTCTCTGTCGCTCTCTCACACACACAGGCAAATTCTCGTGCGCACGCATGTGCAGATATGAACACGGCCTACTTCTCCATGTCTGTAACTAGTTCATTGTCATTCCAATGTCATACTTTCTGTACTAACTAGAATTCACTGCCACATGTAGAGCACTGTAAAGGGATCTGCTGATGAACGTCTGTCCACCGATTGCATTTGTGTAACTCATAGCGTATGAGTGTATGTTTTCTGGTAGATATGCATTATATGTTGATACTGTAGTATGCTGACTGATTGTCTGTTTGTGTTGTCTCAGGTGAGCCCGTGCCCAGGTCTCTAGAGGGTCTGTTTGTCTATGAGGAGAGAAGCACTGCCCCTCCTGCCAACGACACCATCGTAGTGGAGCAGTGGACTGTCATCGAGGTCAGAGAGCCGTGTGTGTGTTACGTCTTACCTGTGTGTGTGTGTGTGTGGTTCAGCCAGTGAGGACAGGTGAATGTGTTGCAGTAGGTAGATATTCTCTGGCGAAGATCCTGTTGGGAGAGAGAGAGATTAGCATTACAGTTACGTCTTTGGGTGTGTCCAAGTAAAACAGAGCTCAAACAACTAGTGGTGGTGAAGGACATTCACTTGTGAGTAACATAATGTGTTCCAGGAGTGTGTTTGTGTGCCAACAACCCTAATCATAATACCACAGCTAGCACTGCATCGCAGTGCTAGCTGTGCCACTAGATATCCTGGTTCGAATCCAGGCTCTGTCGTAGCCGGCCACGACCGGGAGACCCATGGGGCGGCGCGCAATTGGCCCAGCGTCGTCCAGGGTAGGGGAGGGAATGGCCGGCAGGGATGTAGCTCAGTTGGTAGAGCATGGCGTTTGCAACGCCAGGGTTGTGGGTTCGATTCCCACGGGGGGCCAGTATGATTTTTTATTTTTTTATAATGTATGCACTCACTAACTGTAAGTCGCTCTGGATAAGAGCTCAAATGTAAATGTAATAAACAAGTGTAGAAAACACGCAACAATTACCTCTATCCAGCGTGTGACATCATTGCTGTGCTGTATAGGGTTCTGATGTGAAGACCGATTACGGGCCACTCCTTCACACACTGGCTGAGTTTGGCTGGCTGCTCACCTGTGTCCTGCCCACACCTATCATCCGCCATGACAGGTAACACACATAATTGTTGTTTTGCTTGATGGTCCTTCTCGGAACAAACTCGTCCATTTTGTAGTTCGGGTCATCATGCCTTCTATGAGGATTTTCCTTTATAATATATTGTGTGTGTTTCTCCAGTGATGGTAATCTGGCCACCAAGCAGGTGGTGTTCCTACAGAGACCAGTCAAGACCTCTTCAGTACCACAGAGGAACCAGGTAAGGGCTTGGCTTCAGTTAGCACAAAATACTACAACAGGAAAGTTGCTATTTATGTGACAATACTGCCCCCTGTGGGTTTTGTTATAAGATAAAGGGGAGTGGAAAATGAAATCAAAGTGAGATTTAGCATTATCATACTAATCAATTAATTGAATTACATTGCTACACTATCAATTACACACATCTGTGCTGCATTCAATATTATATTAGTTGCTTTAATTAGATATTCAGGCAGGATTTTGATGACATCCCTGACTATCTGCACAACATTTGGTGTTATTGCATAGAACATTAAAATCACAGCAGAGACATGGTAGACATGATAGCAGTGTACATTTTAGTCAACAATAAAAACGACCAACATACTCAATCAAAAAACCTATTTTTCCTGTCTAGAAATATGATGATAACGAGACGCCCTGGAAAAAACGATAACTCTTACAAATTACTTTTAATTTTAGTCTACAAAAATGTGATGAGATGGAATTTCCATGTGAGACATTTAATTTGACATGAAGCTCATTTTCATCTGTTTTGAATGGAGGCCCATTTCCGCCACTCAGAAATATTGATACTATCTCAATTTCGACATACTAACTCGAAATGTCGAGATAGTAGAACATACATTTAGGATATTCTTTTCATTTGTAGCATTATGTGGCGATTTCCATCTATCCATGTTGCAGAGATGAGCACAGCAGCGCCGCCGGCAAACGTGTGGCGAGCTGGCATATGCCCCATCACTTTTAATTTGGCTTGATAAAAAATATTGACACGAAAGCGTTGAAAATAGGGACAAAGTACTGTTGTTTAGACTGATCTGCCTCATGATTTGTCAACTCGTGCACAATTAATCGGTGCTTCAGTCTGATCAGCTGTAGCCTACTTATAATCACAGCTGCAGGTAGCCTAGAGAAGCCTATGCACTCTGAGACCCTCTGGCCAGGGGAATCGAAGCAGTAACGTCATGTATTTATAGCCTAAATTATGTACAGTATTTATAGCCTAAAATAGCCCTATTTATTTGTGTTAAGAGAAAATGTGAATGTGATCAAATTTGGTTTATATTCAAACTTCGGGTGGCTAGGCTACCTAGACCTTATCATTCCAGAATTATTGACTGGAATTAATCAATCAACACAATAGTGATGACATACTGTGTGAGTAACTTTTTAAATACAAATGCAAAGGCCTACACGATGCAACCCTGCATTAAGCAAACTCAGCCCTGTTAGTTCTATTGTCCAATCGCAGTTGTTGTCTATTTATTTATTTTTTAACCATATGACCTGATTAGAAAAGATCTGGTCCCATCATAGCCCATATAAAAAACGTTTTATAGCTGATTTATTACTATGTCATACCCTCCAACTAGGGTCCGGGGTTTTACCTGGTTAGGTTAGTCCAGTGGTTCTCAAACCTCTCCTCGGGGATCCCCAGACGTTTCACAATTTTGTTTTATGCCAGAACAAGTTCACCTAATCAAGGGCTTGATGATTAGTTGACAAGTTGAATCAGGTATGCTAGTTCTGGAATAGATGAATTACATGAACCGGCTGGGGGTCCATTAGGACAGGTTTGAGAACCACTGGACTGTGGTGCCACCGCTGAAATAATTTTGAGATAGCATTGGCCTATTTATTTCTTTATTTTAAATTCGTGGCGGGAATGTGCTTCCATTGTTTTGTCCAATCCTAAACATACATGCATGAATGCAAAATATTTCATGCAATCCTCTCATTGGCAGAATTGACATCTTTCAGTTGCCCGGTCTGATTGAGCTCATCTACCTGGCTCTCCCACACAGCTTCCAGGCGGTCACTTGAGTCACATTCGTCAATCTTTTGAACTTGCAAAGCCAGGACACTTGACTTGTAACCAACCTCCACTAGAAACAATAATGTTTACTCTCTTTCTTACTTTCATGTAGGCTTTTTTTTTTATTTGATCACATCAGAAGCTCTATTTTCCCATGTGCGCTGTTATTCATTTATCTGTGTTGCCGCTCTCGCGCTGCGGTCTGCAAATGCTAGTTGTGGTTGCATTTTTCCTATGGGAAAAACGAATGGTATTTGTTGAATATTAGGAGGACAGTAATAATTCTGGCCTTTTTGGAAAGCTAAAATTCTCCCCTTTTCAAGGAAACCGCTGTTGTTTTCCCACTTGACTGTTATGATGTGGAGAAAATCAGAGCTGTACATTGTTTAACCTGTAGCCAAGGCATTATAGCCTATATGGTTAATTATGTTACAATCTGCCACAATATCAATGTTGCCAGCTAAGGTATACAAGGGGATAGTAGGCCTAGTTGGATAAGGCTATCTGAACGTGCACATGATGGAAGATAGAGGTAGCCTAAATATTCATTTTTTAATAGAAAAAAATGCACTGACTATTATGTGACAAATTGTCCAGTCTGTCGACTGATAACTAAAACTAATGAAGGATGAAATGACTAAAATGTGACTGACTAAAAAGTATTTAAAGAATAAAACTACATCTAAAATAGCTTCCAAAGTTAACACTGCATGGTAGACTCTTCCTCTCTGATCCTCACCTCTTTGTCCTCTCCCAGGCGGGGTCCATGCAGAGGGACGTGACCACTCGTTCTGTGAGTCGTGGTGTGGGCGGCCCCCGAACACCCCCCACTGAGGAGCTGTCCCCCACTGCGGGGGGTATTGGGGGGTTCCCCGTCTTCGGAGGGGGGTACCCCAGCGCCCTGTCCCACCTGGAGGAGGGGGGCTTCGAGCAGGACGACGGGGCGGCAGAGGTCACATGCATGTGAACCCTGAAATTAACACACAGATGATATACATCCCCCATCTATCCCTCTAATCTCTTCCCTAACCAAGAAGATCATAGATTAGAAAGCAAAACTTGGCACTTTTTATCATGTTTTTTTATCATGAAGCCATACGTACCATTTTGAGATGGTGTTATTTCCATTTTTAAACATTTTGTTGGGAAAAGCAAGCAGTCTGCATTCACTGACATTGAGACACTTTTACTCATACCCACATTCTTCCACACATACACTCAGTCCTGATTCAAAAAGATCACATCGTTCACTCTGCACCTTTTCATATGATGAGAACACAGACACCCACATTCACACATACAGTGGGGGAAAAAAGTATTTAGTCAGCCACCAATTGTGCAAGTTCTCCCACTTAAAAAGATGAGAGAGGCCTGTAATTTTCATCATAGGTACACGTCAACTATGACAGACAAAATGAGATTTTTTTTTCAGAAAATCACATTGTCGGATTTTTAATGAATTTATTTGTTAATTATGGTGGAAAATAAGTATTTGGTCAATAACAAAAGTTTCTCAATACTTTGTTATATACCCTTTGTTGGCAATGACACAGGTCAAACGTTTTCTGTAAGTCTTCACAAGGTTTTCACACACTGTTGCTGGTATTTTGGCCCATTCCTCCATGCAGATCTCCTCTAGAGCAGTGATGTTTTGGGGCTGTCGCTGGGCAACATGGACTTTCAACTCCCTCCAAAGATGTTCTATGGGGTTGAGATCTGGAGACTGGCTAGGCCACTCCAGGACCTTGAAATGCTTCTTACGAAGCCACTCCTTCGTTGCCCGGGCGGTGTGTTTGGGATCATTGTCATGCTGAAAGACCCAGCCACGTTTCATCTTCAATGCCCTTGCTGATGGAAGGAGGTTTTCTCTCAAAATCTCACAATACCTGGCCCCATTCATTCTTTCCTTTACACGGATCAGTCGTCCTGGTCCCTTTGCAGAAAAACAGCCCCAAAGCATGATGTTTCCACCCCCATGCGTCACAGTAGGTATGGTGTTCTTTGGATGCAACTCAGCATTCTTTGTCCTCCAAACACGACGAGTGTTTGTCCTTTGACACAGCTCTTTGGTCTTGGCCATAGTGGAGTTTGGAGTGTGACTGTTTGAGGTTGTGGACAGGTGTCTTTTATACTGATAACAAGTTCAAACAGGTGCCATTAATACAGGTAACGAGTGGAGGACAGAGGAGCCTCTTAAAGAAGAAGTTACAGGTCTGTGAGAGCCAGAAATCTTGCTTGTTTGTAGGTGACCAAATAATTATTTTCCACCATAATTTGCAAATAAATTCATTAAAAATCCTACAATGTGATTTTCTGGAAATTTTTTCCTCAATTTGTCTGTCATAGTTGACATGTACCTATGATGAAAATTACAGGCCTCTCATCTTTTTAAGTGGGAGAACTTGCACAATTGGTGGCTGACTAAATACTTTTTTCCCCCACTGTAACTGTCACCAGCACAAAGCAGGAAGCACAGGACCCACCAGGAAGAACCTCTCTATGCACAGACAGACAGACCTCTGGACTAAACTCCCTGTGACCCACAACACACCTGTTGGACTGATGTGTCCCAATGTTTTTGTTCTTCAGTCACTGCTCACAGGTTTCAGACATTGTTCTTGTTTTGGGAAACCGCCTCAACCGCTCTTCCTCCCTCCCCTTTAGAACTGCCAACACCTCTATTCAATCCAATTCAATCCAACTGTATTTACAGTGAGGGAAAAACGTATTTGATCCCCTGCTGATTTTGTACGCTTGCCCACTGACAAAGAAATTATCAGCATATATTTCAACAGTGAGAGACAGAATAACAACAAAAAAATCCAGAAAAAAAGCATGTCAAAAATGTTATAAATTGATTTGCATTTTAATGAGGGAAATAAGTATTTGACCCCCTCTCAATCAGAAAGATTTCTGGCTCCCAGGTGTCTTTTATACAGGTAACGAGCTGAGATTAGGAGCACACTCTTAAAGGGAGTGCTCCTAATCTCAGCTTGTTACCTGTATAAAAGACAACTGTCCACAGAAGCAATCAATCAATCAGATTCTAAACTCTCCACCATGGCCAAGACCAAAGAGCTCTCCAAGGATGTCAGGGACAAGATTGTAGACATACACAAGGCTGGAATGGGCTACAAGACCATCGCCAAGCAGCTTGGTGAGAAGGTGACAACAGTTAGTGCGATTATTCGCAAATGGAAGAAACACAAAATAACTGTCAATCTCCTTCGGCCTGGGGCTCCATGCAAGATCTCACCTCGTGGAGTTGCAATGATTATGAGAACGGTGAAGAATTAGCCCAGAACTACACGGGAGGATCTTGTCAATGATCAAGGCAGCTGGGACCATAGTCACCAAGAAAACAATTGGTAACACACTACGCCGTGAAGGACTGAAATCCTGCAGCGCCCGCAAGGTCCCCCTGCTCAAGAAAGCACATATACAGGGCCGTCTGAAGTTTGCCAATGAACATCTGAATAATTCAGAGGAGAACTGGGTGAAAGTGTTGTGGTCAGATGAGACCAAAGTCGAGCTCTTTGGCATCAACTCAACTCACCGTGTTTGGAAGAGGAGGAATGCTGCCTATGACCCCAAGAACACCATCCCCACCGTCAAACATGGAGGTGGAAACATTTTTCTTTGGGGGTGTTTTTCTGCTAAGGGGACAGGACAACTTCACCGCATCAAAGGGACGATGGACGGGGCCATGTACCGTCAAATCTTGGGTGAGAACCTCCTTCCCTCAGCCAGGGCATTGAAAATGGGTTGTGGATGGGTATTCCAGCATGACAATGACCCAAAACACACAGCCAAGGCAACAAAGGAGTGGCTCAAGAAGAAGCACATTAAGGTCCTGGAGTGGCCTAGCCAGTCTCCAGACCTTAATCCCATAGAAAATGTGTGGAGGGAGCTGAAGGTTCGAGTTGCCAAACGTCAGCCTCGAAACCTTAATGACTTGGAGAAGATCTGCAAAGAGGAGTGGGACAAAATCCCTCCTGAGATGTGTGCAAACCTGGTGGCCAACTACAAGAAACGTCTGACCTCTGATTGCCAACAAGGGTTTTTCCACCAAATACTAAGTCATGTTTTGCAGAGGGGTCAAATACTTATTTCCCTCATTAAAATGCAAATCAATTTATAACATTTTTGACATGCATTTTTCTGGATTTTTTGTTGTTATTCTGTCTCTCACTGTTCAAATAAACCTACCATTAAAATTATAGACTGATCATGTCTTTGTCAGTGGGCAAACGTACAAAATCAGCAGGGGATCAAATACTTTTTTCCCTCACTGTATCCCCTCTCCTCATTCTGACGTGACATCACGTCTGCTCAGGCTCAAGGTGACACAGTTCAGACAAACAGCATATCTACATCCTGCCACCAGCTCCTCTCCCTCCTCTCCTTTCCCATAAACACACCCAGCAGGATGTAAACATTTATCAGGTGTACAAATAGAAATGTTCGCTGTGTTGACGGTACTGACAATATCCAGGTCAGACTTGTCTATGGGCCTGGCAGTGAGTACAGTCATATTACAAACAGCCCTCTCTCTTTCTGTGATGGTTGTGTTTAACTAGGGGTGTTTGAGTTCATGCCTGGAGAAGCTTGTTTGTACAGTAATTGCTTGGGTGAATTCAGATGTTTTTTTTATATACATATACAGGACTGCCAAGCCACAGGGGTGCCTGGGTAAGTGGGAACGAACGGACAACATTTTGAACCTTTTTGAGATGTACACATACAGTACATTAGGGCTATTGTATTCAGTCTGATTGGTGCTAAACATCTAAAGTTCACTAATCTGTTCATTATGTCATCATTAGTGTATATTTCTTAAGTATTTTATAAGAATTATCAGTTGGCATCGGATCAGTAGCTATTCTGTTCCTGCACCTATTCTGTCATTGGAAATAGCTGGTAGTTATTTCATCATAGCCACATGGTACTGGTTATCAGGCCTCAATTGTTTCATTCTGCTCAGTGATGATGTAGATTCCTCTCCTCAGATCTTGAGACAAAGCCCTAGTTTCTTCAGGAGATGACACAGTGACATTTGACTGTTTGAAATGTTTGATCATGCGAAGGGAAACAACCAAGGGCTTGTTGTATAAGAGAACAACCCCATGCTGCTGTACATATCGTAGATGTTAACAAAAAGTATGTTTATATGAGCTCCCTTGTTTTGGGGATGGCGAAACAAATCAGTATTATCTACCTGTTGCAGTGTTTTCATTTTGGAGAAATTGTCATTTGTTGTCATTGGTGTTATCTTATTAAAAAGTTATTGTTCCTCTTTGCGTCCAGTTGTATTCTCCGCTTCAGAAATACATTATATCCTTAAGAAATATACTGCCCATGATTTCTCACACTTACTGACCGATTGACTTTTAAAGCGCTTGGCCCCACATTCACATCTGCCAACTTAAACTTTTTCATCCAGGTATTGAGGCGTAAACCTTAGAAATTAAGTTGCAACGACAGATGGGGCCAATTTATACAAAGGGACATTTCAAAAAGTCAACAAGAACTGGGTAACAGTCCTTTTTAAAAAAAATTAACAGACATCATGAAAATGTAACAAAATTCAGTTCATTAAAAAAGGAAAATTAAAAAGTGGGGCGAATAGACAAGATTCCTCTCACAAAATAACTTAATGATGAGGGGGAGGGTAAATGGCAAAGGAGGTATGTACTAAGAGCAACACAAGCAGAGAGATTCTGAACCACAAATGGATCCATTGCCTCTAAATCCTAGGCACACCTGTACATTTGAGCGGATTGGATACATAAGCATTATGGTCATAGCTTCATCTTGCCTTCCAATGGGCTGCATGGAAATGTCTGCATATTTTTCCACCAATCCTCTCAGATCTACAGGAGTGGCTAGGGGTCCATTTACAATTCAGCGAGAGAGAACAAAAGCAACGGAGAGAATGCAAAGGTGAAGCACCAGCAAAATAATGATAGTAGAGATGGAGGGAGGGACATGATACAGCAGGGGTTATTTACAGAGAGCGGATGAGTGTGTGCCTTTGTCATCAACACATTATAGTTTTACGTAGGTTTAGCAAATGCAGCTGCTCAAAACGTTAAAGCAACATTCCCCACAGAGTAGTGAGAGCCTGTCTGTAGTGTGTAGCTGTTTCAGACCTGGGTTCAAATCAATGATGTACATAAACCTTGGATTGCTGATGCTATGCATTGGCCGATGAGAGGCTTTGAAGCCATCGGTCGGCCATATTGGCACTCCTCAGAAAAGCAGTCCTCCATAGGAATGAATGGAATTCTACAGTATTTCATTTGAATGTTTCAAGGACAAAATAAAATAAAATAAAATTTGTAGTGGGGCCAGTAACATTACTACTTTCTTTTAAGGACATTTACATTTTATTTATATTTTTTATGTTTAGCTCACATAATTACAAATTATGCATTTAGGTGTCCGTAATAGAATAAATGTGGCAAAAACAATTGTAGACTAATAAATGTAGAAATGTTTTACAATGGTGGAGGGGTGCCAAGATGGAGGCGCGATGGCTTCAAAACAGTGTCCCCTGTCAGTCATCTAGTGTATATATAAATTATTGATTAAAATACTTTTCGAAATCTTTCAAATACTTTGAGCATTCGCTTTAGCCTGCCTAGAGTGCCTGATGGGCAGGGTTTGCACTTGTGGGACTCTTCTATTGGTTCCATTGCAACAGGCAAGCTCAATCAAGCAGTATTTGAACACACGTCTGGTCTCCTGTGTGTAGCTCTCCTCTCAGGCCTCGCTCTCCCCGGCTGAAGCGTTCTGGACCTCCTCCTCCAGGATAGGAACGATCAGGTTGTCCTTGGACATCAGGTTGTATTTCATCACGAAGCGTGTGAACCGATGGCACAGGAATGTCTCATTCTGCAGGGAGGGACATAGAAGGGAAACAAACAAGAGAATTAGGCTCTGTCCAGAAACAACCCATAGCACGTACCCCCTAGACACAGAGGTGAACCAAGAGAAGTAGAGTATGATATGAGGTCTGATTAACTAGTTTATAGAATGACTAACAGTTTTTAAATAGCAACATTATAGCTTTGGTCTGCTTGGGGTCATTACATTGACTACTGAGCCGGGTTCAGTGGACCATGAAGTGAACCTAATCATATGCCCATTGCCCAGTTCTAGTAATAACCACATATCAGTTTTTCCCTACAGACCTGGGCCCTGTTTCCCAAAAGCATCTTAAGGCTAATTCTAACGATGAACTTGGCCTTAAGATGCTTTTGGGAAACCGGGCCCAGGTCTGTAGTGCCACCTGTTGGCTGAATATGGAACAACCACAAAATGGAACATGATCATGACTCATTTGCCACAAATAAAGCACAATAACTAATTAATTATCATCATGTCCTCCTCAACCTGGTGTACACTTCTGGATATGTGCATTCCATTTTCTCACTTAAACAAGCAGAAAAAAAGCAGTTTGTGTCCCTGTGACGCTATAATATCAGTTTCAATAAGAATGAGGAACCCAAATCCTGCTCCTCTGCCAGGTCTGTTTGGGAAGTGGGAACTTCCAACTACTACTTACCTCATACTTGTCAAATATCTGGCGATGGTGGAAATAGGCATGAGAGAATATCCTATAGATACGGCGACACACAGAGCCCAGCTTGGCTACAGAGGACTCCTTGATGCTCACGCTGGGGAGAGAAGATTGAAAGTGTATGCGTAGGAAACCAAAGTATTCCTTTACACAGTGTGTGTGTGTGTGTGTGTGTGTGTGTGTGTGTGTGCGCTCACCGGCTGGGGAAATACTTGTTGCTGTTGAGAAGGCAGGCAGCTCCGTCCAGCGTGTGCCTAGTGTAGTCAATGGCAGGACACTGTGGACAGAAACACACAGGCAATTACATACATCTTAAATATAGTGCATGGCAGGCTAAATAGAAATATTAAATCCTGAGTGAATTTAATTCTGATTTTAGTAACACACCTCTTTGGGGGTCTTGTGTGCAGCACATAGGAAGATCCACTGCTCTGTGGCGGTCATCTGGGTGCAGGTCTCTGGGTGGCACTCACTCTGCAGTTTCACAGCTAGTCCATTCAGCTCCAGACAGAACTGCCTATATCAGAGAGAAAGAAGGGGTGGGTGGGGAATGGGGATAAGGAAAAAGATAGATGAGTGAGACTCAACACCAAAATAAATTACTGTAATTGATTTGGTAGACACACTCAGTGTAGAGTAATCAGTCAAGTGTGTAGTTAGCATACTGTCAAAGTAATACGTCTAGTAAGTCAAGTGAAGGAAGGCAGTGTACCTGAGGTGCTCATACTTCCACACTCCCTCGTCCTGTCCCTCTGGAGGCTCCAGGATCTTATCGATGTTAGAGCAGTCTGACCGGATGTTCTGCTGAATGTACTGAACAGGGACAGGGGTACCACTGAGGTTAGTCAAACATCCTGATTCTGCTAACATCCTTGTTAACCAACTAAAGTTCTGACATGGGTGACAATGATCACACTAGATAAGATGCTTTGTAGGTTTATAGGGCAGCAGCCATCTTAAAATAAGGAACAGCTCATCAATGTCAGGCTTGACACTTGACAGCTACGAACAGCATTCTGCAATCATGACACTTTTGATGCTAATTTGAAGCTTAAAATGGACTCCCCAGTCATTCCCCACTGACTAACTCAACCACACCTGCTGCACAGCCAGCGTGCTGTCCATCTCTTCAAAGGATTCATCCGGCCAGTTGTAGAAATCCTGCAGCGAAAGAGGGAGGGACAAAGGGATAACGTTAATCATATTCAAGGAACTGTATGTGTTCAATGGACAAAAGTGTCACCTCTCAGCCTTTCATGTTATCTAGCCATAGACAGCATTGTTAACGTTAGTTAACGTTAGCTAGCAACAGCTGTAATTGTTGACATAATAATAAAATAATATGCCATTTAGCAGACGCTTTTATCCAAAGCGACTTACAGTCATGCGTGCATACATTTTTGTGTATGGGTGGTCCCGGGGATCGAACCCACTACCTTGGCGTTACAAGCGCCGTGCTCTACCAGCTGAGCTACAGAGGACCACAAGCTAACTGGTAACTGTCAGGACATGCTAGCTAACTGGTAACTGTCAGCTATTTTGACATAGCTTGCTAGCTAGTTAACTGTTCATGAACTGTAGTCTTCAGCACTGTAGTTAACTAGCTATAATATTTTGCATCAGCCAACTATCAAGCCAAGTAATTATTTGTGTTGACTTTATACTTATAAAGTGCCCCAAATTAGCTAGCTATATTGAACAAAACTGTAAACGCAACATGCAACAATTTCAAAGATTTTACTGAGTTACAGTTCATATACGGAAATCATTCATTACACCCTAATCTATGGATTTCACATGACGGGCAGGGGTGCAGCTGGGGAGCCAGGCCCAGCCAATCAGAGAATTTGTTTTTCCCCACAAACGCTTTATTACAGACAGAAATACCCCCCCACCCCACCCCACCCCCTCAGACGATCCCACAGGTGAAGAAGCCGGATATGGATTCCTGGGCTGGCGTGGTTACAAGTGGTCTGTGGTTGAGGCCAGTTGGACACGCTGCCAAATTCTCTAAAACGACACTGGAGGCAGCTTATGTTAGAGAAATTAACATTAAATTCTCTGGCAACAGCTCTGGTGGACATTCCTGCAGTCAGCATGCCAATTGCACGCTCCCTCAAAACTTGAGACATCTGTGGCATTGTGTTGTGTGACAAAACTGCATATTTTAAAGTGGCCTTTTATTGTCCCCAGCACAAGGTGCTCCTGTGTAATGATCATGCTGTTTAATCAGCTTCTTGATATGCCACACCTGTCAGGTGAATGGAATATCTTGGCAAAGGAGAAATGCTTACTAACAGACATGTAAACAAATTTGTGCACAACATTTTAGAGAAATAAGCTTTCTGGGATTTTATATTTCAGCTCATGAAACATGAGACCAACACTTTACATGTTGCGTTAACATTTTTGTTCAGTGTAATTTAAGGTTACCAATACCAAATGTAAACTAGGTTGACTACTAAATTAGCTTGCCAAAAGATACCAACCCTACCGTTACGCTTGTTTACGCTGAGCTGCACTGGGGTTGGAACTCAATCATTGTTACATTAAGACACCATGGAGCTGGCGCGAGATATGGGTCGGAAAACGTACCTCAATGCTGGGATGGGATATGCCACTGTACTCCAAATTGTACCTTTATCCATACTGCTCAACCAAGAAGATTGAAATTCTACCAGTTTTCATGGAAACCTGCCATTTTCAACCCCATGCTAGTTAACATTTCATAATCAGCCATTATGGAATGCCACTTCGTGTTTTTTTTGTTTTTTGTTATTTTATTAACAACAATTACAACACAATATACAAACATACTGTATATATATATATATATTTATATATACACACACACACACACACACACACACACACACAGTGGGGGGAAAAAAGTATTTAGTCAGCCACCAATTGTGCAAGTTCTCCCACTTAAAAAGATGAGAGAGGCCTGTAATTTTCATCATAGGTACACGTCAACTATGACAGACAAAATGAGAAAAAAAAATCCAGAAAATCACATTGTAGGATTTTTTATGAATTTATTTGCAAATTATGGTGGGAAATAAGTATTTGGTCAATAACATCAAAAATAAGTATTTGGTCAATAAAAAATAAGTATTTGGTCAATTCTTACGAAGCCACTCCTTCGTTGCCCGTGCGGTGTGTTTGGGATCATTGTCATGCTGAAAGACCCAGCCACGTTTCATCTTCAATGCCCTTGCTGATGGAAGGAGGTTTTCACTCAAAATCTCACGATACATGGCCCCATTCATTCTTTCCTTTACACGGATCAGTCGTCCTGGTCCCTTTGCAGAAAAACAGCCCCAAAGCATGATGTTTCCACCCCCATGCTTCACAGTAGGTATGGTGTTCTTTGGATGCAACTCAGCATTCTTTGTCCTCCAAACACGACGAGTTGAGTTTTTACCAAAAAGTTCTATTTTGGTTTCATCTGACCATATGACATTCTCCCAATCCTCTTCTGGATCATCCAAATGAACTCTAGCAAACTTCAGACGGGCCTGGACATGAACTGGCTTAAGCAGGGGGACACGTCTGGCACTGCAGGATTTGAGTCCCTGGCGGCGTAGTGTGTTACTGATGGTAGGCTTTGTTACTTTGGTCCCAGCTCTCTGCAGGTCATTCACTAGGTCCCCCCGTGTGGTTCTGGGATTCTTGCTCACCGTTCTTGTGATCATTTTGACCCCACGGGGTGAGATCTTGCGTGGAGCCCCAGATCGAGGGAGATTATCAGTGGTCTTGTATGTCTTCCATTTCCTAATAATTGCTCCCACAGTTGATTTCTTCAAACCAAGCTGCTTACCTATTGCAGATTCAGTCTTCCCAGCCTGGTGCAGGTCTACAATTTTGTTTCTGGTGTCCTTTGACAGCTCTTTGGTCTTGGCCATAGTGGAGTTTGGAGTGTGACTGTTTGAGGTTGTGGACAGGTGTCTTTTATACTGATAAGTTCAAACAGGTGCCATTAATACGGGTAACGAGTGGAGGACAGAGGAGCCTCTTAAAGAAGAAGTTACAGGTCTGTGAGAGCCAGAAATCTCATATTTTTAAGTGGGAGAACTTGCACAATTGGTGGCTGACTAAATACTTTTTTTCCCCACTGTATATATATATTTTTTTAATCTACCAATTAACACAGAAACTTTATACACAGGTATACACATTTTTTTCTTTAAATAGACAAGGCTTCACAGGCATTTAGGGTCCGTTTTGCTATACATATTTTTAGATTACGCAGCATTTTCAAAATACAAATACAATTTATATTTTACAAATTGTGGCTTTTCTTTTGCCCACTTGCATTGATGTATATAATATTTACCATACATAATGAAGAGATTCATTATATATACACACTTTGTTCTGATCTAAAGCCTTATCATGAAACAAAAGTAAAACATATTTACCATCAAGACAAACCCTAGCACCAGTTGATCTAAAAAATACATAATTATTAGCGCACTTTTTATCTTTGATGCATACACCATCTAATAAGACGCTGAAACTGAATTCCACATTCCTCTCAAGAACATAATTTCCATGTAAAAGTCTTATAAGGCCTGTAAGTATTGCATAAAAAACAAATGGCATTCTCCTTCACCATCACTGGAAATCCATATCTATTCAAAAACTCGACATAACTATACAGTTGTCCATTTCCAATAAATAATTGTGCCACTAACAAAATACCGTTCTCAAACCATCTATGGAAAAATGAAGATTTATTCTTATATTTTATGTCTTTGATATTCCAAATCAAACATCTATGAGGGGAGAAGTTATGTTTATATACAATTAACCAGGATAGTAACACTTGATTATGGAAATTGGCTAATTTAAAGGGGAATTTTTATTAGCTCAAATTGGATGTAATTCTTCATCCATCTAGTCTTAAAGATAATATTGGATATACCAAAATTCAAGCACATTTAAACCACCATGATCTAGAGTATTACATAATACACTCTTTTAAAATCATGTGGTTTATTCCTCCAAACAAAATTAAAAAGTTTAAAGTCTACTTCTTTACTTGTTGCTTGGGGAACATCCAATGCTATTGCAGTATATAATAGTCTTGATTCTTCTTCAGTTTTTCACAACAATATGCGACCATTTAACCCTTAACAACCAAGCATCAAACCTGAACTTTCTCAGTGATGGGATTACAATTTTAATTAGTCCTTTGTTTGGTTTTTACATACAGTACCAGTCAAAAGTTTGGACACACCTACTCATTCAAGGGTTTTTCTTTATTTTTACTATTTTCTACATTGTAGAATAATAGTGAAGACATCAAAACTATGAAACAACACATATTGAATCATGTAGTAAGCAAAGAAGTGTTAAACAAATCAAAATATATTTTAGATTCTTCAAGGTAGCCACCCTTTGCCTTGATGACAGCTTTGCACACTCTTGGCATTCTCTCAACCGGCTTCATGAGGTAGTCACCTGGAATGCATTTCAATTAATAGGTGTGCCTTGTTAAAAGTTAATTTGTGGAATTTCTTTCCTTCTTAATGTGTTTGAGGCAATCAGTTGTATTGTGACATGGTAGGGGTGGTATACAGAAGATAGCCCTATTTGGTAAAAGACCAAGTCCATATTATGGCAAGAACAGCTCAAATAAGCAAAGAGAAACGACAGTCCATCATTACTTTAAGTCATGAAGGTCAGCCAATCCGGAAAATTTCAAGTGCAGTCACAAAAACCATGAAGCACTATGATGAAACTGGCTCTCATGAGGATCGCCACAGGAAAGGAAGACCCAGAGTTACCTCTACTGCAGAGGATAAGTTCATTAGGAGTTACCAGCCTCAGAAATTTCAGCCCAAATAAATGCTTCACAGTTCAAGTAACAGACACATCTCAACATCAACTGTTCAGAGGAGACTGTGAATCAGGCCTTCATGGTCGAATTGCTGCAAAGAAACCACTACTAAAGGACACCAATAAGAAGAAGAGACCTGCTTGGGCCAAGAAACACAAGCAATGGACATTAGACCGGTTGAAATCTGTCCTTTGGTCTGATGAGTCCAAATCTGAGATTTTTGGTTCCAACCACCGTGTCTTTGTGAGACGCAGAGTAGGTGAACGGATGATCTTTGCATGTGTGGTTCACATCGTGAAACATGGAGGAGGTGTGATGGTGCTTTGCTGGTGACACAGTCTGTGATTTATTTAGAATTCAAGGCACACTTAACCAGCATGGCTAACACAGCATTCTGCTGCGATACGCCATCCCATCTGGTTTGGGCTTAGTGGGACTATCATTTGTTTTTCAACAGGACAATGATCCAACACACCTCCAGGCTGCGTAAGGGCTATTTGACCAAGAAGGAGCGTAATGGTGTGCTGCATCAGATTCAATGGCCTCCACAATCACCCGGCCTCAACCCAATTGAGATGGTTTGGGATGAGTTGGACCGCAAAGTGAAGGAAAAGCAGCCAACAAGTGCTCAGCACATGTGGGAACTCCTTCAAGACTGTTGGAAAAGCATTCCAGGTGAAGCTGGTCGAGAGAATGCCAAGAGTGTGCAAAGCTGTCATCAAGGCAAAGGGTGGCTACTTTGAAGAATCTCAAATATAAAATATATTTTGATTTATTTAACACTTTTTTGGCTACTACATGATTTGATTAGTGTTATTTCATAGTTTTGATGTCTTCACTATTATTCTTCAAGATAGAAAATAGTCTAAATTAAGAAAAAATATTTCGTGTTTTTCTCGCCTTCTTCCATCCACTTTGTTCTTGATCTCACAAAGGCTCATTTTTCTTTGTCCTCATATATTCTGTCCAAATCTAATTGTAGTTTGACTCAAGTCCTCTTGTCCATAATGGTAACAATGTCTTTGATTATATACTTTTGGTCTTAGCAACCTCCTTTCCTCTTTTAATGGCCAACCTTCTGATCTTGTACTTCATGAATTCCCAGTATGCACCATATAACTTCAATAAGTTTGCCTTATTCTAGCATTCAGTTATAATAGATTTAGCTGCATTCTTGAACTGTTCATCAGCCAGAAGTGTTTTGTTAAATTTCCGGTAATTGTTGTTATTTTTCTGCCCATCTGTGAGTTTGATTGAAAGAAAAATGGCTTTATGGTCAGTGAGAACAGAGGTTTCAATAGAAACACCTACTCTGGATATGAACCAAAAATCGATTCTTGATTGCTTGGACATATCTTTACAACACAATGTAGATTGTTTTTTATAAGGGTTTTTATATCTCTATATATCAAAACCATCAAATCCCAAACATAAATTAAACTCGGAGGGATTATTCATTCTTGTAGCTCATAGAGATAAGCAATCCCATTGAGGAGCGCCAATCGAATTCCAATTCCCTCCTAAATTCAGTCTGGCATCCACAAATGTATCTAAAAGTAAACAAATTTCCTGCTCGAAATCTTGAAATAGGTCTTTTTTTTTTTTTTACTGTTATTTGTAGCATAAATGTTTCCCAAGGCACATCTATAACAAAAATTAACCATCTTCCAGAATGATGAGCCTTACTCGACTACTTTACCTTTAAACTTCCCTTTCAAAATTGCCAAGCCAGCAGAATGGTTACTTCCATAATTGCACTTCGTGTTGAACAACAAAGGAGCAAAATTGGCTGGCACTGCCATTCCAAAATGTCTGCAGTGGCTACTGTTAGCTAACATGAGGACAAAAAGGGCAGTTTTCCCTGAAAAATAGCAGTATTTCAATCTTCTCGATGTATCAGTGTGGATAAATGTACAATTTGGAGTACAGTGGCATATCCCATCTCTGCATTGATGTACATTTCCCCACCCATATCTTGCACCAGCTCCATGGTGTGCCCATGATTGCGTTCCAACTCCAGTGCAGCTCAGTCGTAAACAAGCATAACGGTAGGGTCGGTATCTTCTGGCAACTAAGTTAGCTAACATCAGTTAGCTACTAGTTACTAGCTAACTATCAAAAGTAAAAAGTGGTTCTCTGATAGTATTCATATTGGCATTTTTGTAAGTCTAGTTTGCCAACTAACTAACTAGACAAGTCTCTAAATCTCTGCTGTGCAACGTTTTTAGCAAGCTACTACTAGCTTGCAGCCCCGACCCTCCTGTGTTTTTTTCGGAAGACATCTCCGAGCAAATTGCAGACAAACGACTCAAAAAGCCATCACCGAAATTAAATCCACGGTTGAGGCGAGGCAAGGCCGCAATAATCACCGATGGCCTCTTTACCAAATTCAATCGTATTCCGATTTATAGAAACATACCTTCGCCTTTGTTCCAGGCCTATTCCTCCTCAGAACTGCAGTACCCTCCGCCATGACCATCTCGACAGAATGCCCGGATGCAAATGATGCACAGACTTGTGTGACTGATACCAGGAACGGTGACAGGGAGTTGGTGGCTACCAAACAAACGGTGGTCATTCCTCCAGAGATATCACTGACACAAGTACACTGCTCAAAAAAATAAAGGGAACACTAAAATAACACATCCTAGATCTGAATGAATGAAATAATCTTATTAAATACTTATTTCTTTACATAGTTGAATGTGCTGACAACAAAATCACACAAAAAGTATCAATGGAAATCAAATGTATCAACCCATGGAGGTCTGGATTTGGAGTCACCCTCAAAATTAAAGTGGAAAACCACACTACAGGCTGATCCAACTTTGATGTAATGTCCTTAAAACAAGTCAAAATGAGGCTCAGTAGTGTGTGTGGCCTCCACGTGCCTGTATGACCTCCCTACAACGCCTGGGCATGCTCCTGATGAGGTTTCGGATGGTCTCCTGAGGGATCTCCTCCCAGACCTGGACTAAAGCATCCGCCAACTCCTGGACAGTCTGTGGTGCAACGTGGCGTTGGTGGATGGAGCGAGACATGATGTCCCAGATGTGCTCAATTGGATTCAGGTCTGGGGAACGGGCGGGCCAGTCCATAGCATCAATGCCTTCCTCTTGCAGGAACTGCTGACACACTCCAGCCACATGAGGTCTAGCATTGTCTTGCATTAGGAGGAACCCAGGGCCAACCGCACCAGCATATGGTCTCACAAGGGGTCTGAGGATCTCATCTCGGTACCTAATGGCAGTCAGGCTACCTCTGGCGAGCACATGGAGGGCTGTGCGGCCCCCCAAAGAAATGCCACCCCACACCATGACTGACCCACCGCCAAACCGGTCATGCTGGAGGATGTTGCAGGCAGCAGAACGTTCTCCACGGCGTCTCCAGACTCTGTCACGTCTGTCACGTGCTCAGTGTGAACCTGCTTTCATCTGTGAAGAGCACAGGGCGCCAGTGGCGAATTTGCTAATCTTGGTGTTCTCTGGCAAATGCCAAATGTCCTGCACGGTGTTGGGCTGTAAGCACAACCCCCACCTGTGGACGTCGGGCCCTCATACCACCCTCATGGAGTCTGTTTCTGACCATTTGAGCAGACACATGCACATTTTTGGCCTGCTGGAGGTCATTTTGCAGGGCTCTGGCAGTGCTCCTCCTGGCACATAGGCAGAGGTAGCAGTCCTGCTGCTGGGTTGTTGCCCTCCTACGGCCTCCTCCACGTCTCCTGATGTACTGGCCTGTCTCCTGGTAGCGCCTCCATGCTCTGGACACTACGCTGACAGACACAGCAAACCTTCTTGCCACAGCTCGCATTGATGTGCCATCCTGGATGAGCTGCACTACCTGAGCCACTTGTGTGGGTTGTAGACTCCGTCTCATGCTACCACTAGAGTGAAAGCACCGCCAGCATTCAAAAGTGACCAAAACATCAGCCAGGAAGCATAGGAACTGAGAAGTGGTCTGTGGTCACCACCTGCAAAACCAGTCCTTTATTGGGGGCGTCTTGCCACCTGTTGTCTATTCCATTTGCACAACAGCATGTGAAATGTATTGTCAATCAGTGTTGCTTCCTAAGTGGACAGTTTGATTTCACAGAAGTGTGATTGACTTGGAGTTACATTGTGTTGTTTAAGTGTTCCCTTTATTTTTTTGAGCAGTGTATGTATAAATCATAGTATTTGAAGGATACATGGGCACTGTGTAGCTCAGTTGGTAGAGCATGGCGCTTGCAACGCCAGGGTTGTGGGTTCGATTCCCACGGGGGGCCAGTATGAAAATAAGAAGAAATGTATGCACTAACTGTAAGTCGCTCTGAATAAGAGCATCTGCTAAATGACTAAATTGTAACAAGGACCTTCCTTTTACCAAAACCAGTTCCAAATCCAGTTCCTTCAACACAATGTTATGCAGATCCTCTTTTCATATATCTGCTCAGGAGATTAAATTGCAGCAACACATCCAGATTCAATAGTTCACTTTATTATTGTAACAAAACATGATCAGAATTATTTACAATTCAATAACATAGAAAAAACTAAGACATGAATGAGGCAACATTCTTTCTTCTCTAACAGGATGGATGTTTTACAGTGAAACAGATTTTACTCTACATATTTGCCAAGGATGTCAGCATCACGGAACAGGAAGTATTCCTGAAAGACAAATTATGATAGAAATTAAAATAGACAATCAATACACAAACACTAATGAATATGGTGGTTGGACATAATTTTGAATGATCACTTATTAATCATATATCTAATAATAATAAAGTAGAAAACAGTTGCCTTGTCTTCCAGGTTGACTTTAGTTCCTCCATACTCTGGCAGAAGGACCTTCTCTCCAACTTTGACACTCATGGGTGTCAGGTTCCCTTTCTGAATGAAATCAGTAGATAAGCCAGTAAGACAACACAGACAGACTGTAAGCCACAGTTGTAGACAGACTCCAGTTAGATACACAACTCATACATAAGCTACTGTTTAGCCAGAGAGAGTGAGACAGAAGTAGTAAATTACCTTGTTTGTGGAGCCTGGTCCTACTGCCACCACTGTGGCCTGCAGAACCTTGCCTTGGGCCTTCTCTGGCAACATGATGCCCCCCTTCGACATAGTCTCTGCAGCCAGACGCTCCACCAGCACCCGGTCAAACATGGGAAGGAATTTCCTGAAAGCCTAAAATGTGTAGGGGAAGTGTTTTATTTATGACGGAGACAATGTACAACAAAACATTGCAACTGATTTAATCTACATAGCTCATCTGAGGTTGAGAAGTGTTGGACTCTTCTACAGTGAGTGCTTGACATTCCAATTGTTATACCCTGAAATAGCCACTAGATGTAGAGTCAATCGATTGTGTGAACTGATAAAGGCATGAGTAATACAAATGCACGAGAGGGGCCCCTTCAATAGCCAAAAGGAGATGTGTTGTAACCATCTGCCATCATCCACTGAAAATATGGACTATGTACACCCTTCAAAACCTTAAGGTGGATTCCAAGAGTTCCTGGTTTGGTAAGTGTAGTCGCTCTTTTTGAATGGCATCTGTGAACCGAATCACATCTGTGAAAGAGACTTTCATTTGGCTCCCTGACTTGCATACGGTTAGGCCTACTACTGTTTTTTGAGCTCCAGACAATAATTATATGCAAAAAAGTATTTAAAAAATTACTCACTGCAGGAAAAATAGATAGAGAGGAGAGAGAATTTCTGGTCCACACATTTTTGCAGTGCGTTCATTTTTGTAGGCCATCTAATAATTTGGGTCAGGTAAAAATGTATTTGAACTCACGTCACGAACTGACATAATGGCAGGCAACTTTTTAGGCTTTACATTAGATATTTGCAATTTTTTGATGGTGATATATACATTTAAGCGCTACTGAACAAAGAGCTGTTTGGGAGCTAAATTAACGTCTCTTTTAGCTGAACGGAGCCAAATGAGCCAGCTCACTGAACACTCAATACAAGAAACTTGTCACTAAAGGTATACATAAACCTACTACAGGTTAGTGGTACTCTCCGCTATAATAATTGAAGGAGTGAGTGGAGCTGAAGATATGATGGTGGATGCCCCGCAGCCTGTGGAGATTCCGTGTTGTTCAACAGTTGAGGGAAACTGATATGCTGATCGTGAAGGTGGATTTTGTGGCGTTTATTGCGCATGTGATTAATTGTACTGCCCAAATGAACAAGTCCAAGAAACTGGCCATAATTGTATCTGCGGCTCAAAAGGTTCTTGGGTCTCCAGGACTTCACGGCCGAAACATTGCAAGATATACTGTATGAAGATGCTCTTCTTTCTCAGGCCCCAGAGACTGAAGGGATCGGAGTTGACGTTTGAATCTGACTAAAGGAGTAAATTGATTTGTTTTTGTTTCTTTGTCTTTTAATTATTTGGAAACAATATGAGCATACTACCCCGTACAGTGGGTGGTGGCATACACCTCATGTATTTTTGCGGACCGCCATAATACCATAGAAAAATAGTGGTGCCCTCCTCTACTTCTAACTGTACAGGAAATCATTAATGAGGGTTTGTTACTGCCCTTGACTACTAGCAGTGTCCATGCAATTTGTAAGTAGAGCCTGCCAAAGGCAACAAAGACACTGTTAGTATTCACTATTGAAAAGGCATAAAGCAGCATTGCCCAAACTTGGTCCTCGGGACCCCAAGGGGTGCACATTTTGGGTTTTGCCCTAACACTACACTGCTGATTAAAATTATCAAAGCTAGATGATTAGTTGATTATTTGAATCAGCTGTGTAGTGCTAGGGCAAAAACCAAAACGTGCACCACTTGGGGTTCCGAGGACCGAGTTTGGGAAACCCTGGTGTAAAGCAAGCAATTGGTAGATATCTGATGTAGGACGATTTTCAAGCTAAAACTAAAAGACTACTCAAAGTAGAGTATGGATTCGCTCTTTGGCCAGCACAATGCAAGGTGCTTAGGAGCCAAAATGTTGAAGAGTTGAAACACCAGCTGCCTGTCTGGTAACAGATGTATCTTTGACCTTGAATGAAGGTTGTCAGTGAAACAGGGGAGGGACAGAGGAGGGTCTGTGGTTCCAGGCTGTTGATGCCAGGGCAGGGCTCTCCAACCCTGACCCACATATAAACTTCTATACTAATCATGGCAGGGATGTTAAGAGTAAATTCCAGAACAGGTCAGGGAGTGTGTGCCGCCGCGCCCCACCCTGCATAGTTTCAAATATTACAAGTGTGGCAAAATGAATGGGCAAATAAAATGCTGTGACGCAGTTACACATGGGGTCACAGCGTCTGCGTTACCCGGAACTGGTTGATAGCGCCGGTAATTCCCTTTTTCGTTGTGCAAGGACACAGACAGTGAAATAAACTGGACACAGACAGTGAAATAAACTAGAATAACATACAATAGGTCAAATAAAATACCACACTTGTGCAAAGGACCATACACATAGCATGTGGCATCAATTTAGATTGCAACAGCAAATGCTTCTCCTCATCACTTTATTCGTTCTTCATAGTTCACTAGTACCCATCAACAACAGTGCCAATTGTGAAACTCGTGCTGGCAATTCTCTCCATATATAGCCAACGATTTTGAGATTGATGGTGCAAGATAGCAAGTTATCTCGAGCTAGCTAATTTAGCTATTCGACAATCAGAAGTGTGGGACAATGCATGGCAGATCGCATATGTCACTGTATGACAAGCCTTTACACAGTAACGGTTGCTAGCTAATCTGATAAAATCCTCCTGTATTCTTGGTCATGTCTGACCTTGCCTGTGATAAATCAAAGCATAGTTTAGCTACTACAACACATGATGAAAATCGGAATGCGTGCTAACTCTGCTGGTGACAAACAGGACATTTGGCATCCTAAATTATATTATAGCTATGTGTTTTTGATAAAGAATGTCTTACCATTTTTATGTGAGAGACCTTGTGATGTTGAGGACCGACTTCTTTGAGCGTGGATTTGACACACTGAACTAGAATCTCCACGTGAGGAAATGTCGAGAACTGGTTCGCGCATGCGTGTCTTCAAATGTCCTTACTTTACTCTTCCTGGACAGTTTCAGTTCCAGAATATTCCATAACCCCTACAGAATGCAAAAGGCACGTATACATATAAAAGTAACACAAATGTGGCAGAAGGAACTCGCCAGAACAGTTCTGATGAAATTATAACAAATGTTTAATGTGTTCTCATGCGATTGCAATTTGCAGCAACGTTGCACAATGTGTCAACTTTGAACTCCCTTATTTCTCCAATGGCGCATGAGAAAATTCTGGAACCTGGGGCCCTGGAACGAGCATATCAGTGAAATGTGTAGTTTTATCGATAAGTTAAACACACAAAATAAATACTTTCCCTAAAACAAAGTGCATAAATAGCACAATCATTTGATTCATTATGGTTTTGATGTAAAAAGTCCAATTTCAGCAAACATATGTATTTCTCTCCCTATGCATGTTTAGGGGCAGACCGGTAGATTGCCCGGGTGCAAAACCATGTGCATTGCTGCCTGTCTTTGAAGCTCGATTACACAACCGCAGCCTATTCTTTTCCACATTATACCATCCTGTCTCCTTCAGACAAGCAAATCGTGTCATCATCAAACAACAAGTAAGTACTGTTATGTCTTCATAACATTTTATAGAGCTTGATGCGCAGAAATCTAAACAGCATATTGTCTATATGCTTTTGCTAGCTCAACATATTTTCAAGCCTGTCATGGTTCTCCAACAAGGACATTGAAATAAGTAGCTATCTGTGCTAACGTTAGCTAGCTAGCCTAACTAGGATTAGCTAACGTTAGCTAGCCTAACTAGGATTAGGAATAAAACTTGACATAATTACCAGACACGTAATTATGGCAATTTTAACTTGGCTGTCTGTTTCTCCAATACTTTTTCATTAGTCATATCTATTTGATAGTTAAGTTGAATTGATATTTTGATGGTAGTTATGTGCATAATTGTTTTCACGGTCATGTTGATTGTCATGTGCTCTGTGCTTGATTGAAGAATGACAGAGCCCAATTGGTAACATTTACTCATGTCATGGCATGCTGTACCTACAAGAGGTTTGATCGCATCACAATTTATTCCAAAATATTGTTAAATTGATTTTAACATTATTTTTTTCACTTAATTTGCATTTGTCAGATATTGAAATCTGTAAAGCCAAAATTAGAGGCGTGAGCAATTAACCCAGTCCTTTCTTGTCCAAACTCGAGCTGGGGTAGCGTCTACTCGGGCTGGTGTAGGCTGCAGTAGAAATGTTTGCATTTTCAATTCACAAATAATGCTTTCGTTTGTCTTTGCATCTTTACTACATGTTCAATTCATTCAGTAGCTAGTTCATTCATTTGGGGAAAGCATTAAACGTTACTGTGAACGCGCCATATGATGTGCGATTTTGACCTTATGCCACATGACCTGAACACACGTGGGGAGAATCAGGAAAAGAGCGGTGCGATACATTAATCAGTAACGATTTAGCAAATCTCAACAAACTCATCAGATAAAACATTAATTTGTAATCAGAGATAAACAACCAAGTGCAATAGCCCTCATGTCGGACATGGAATTAGGCTGCTACTTGAGAATTATGCAGAATGCTGTGTCCATAGAGATTAAATATAATTCCTAATTATATGGCTGTCTCGTCCTCGGCCCTTGGTTTAGGTTATGTGGAATAAGAAATTCTGCCAAATCATGCACATGTAGACTAACTCTTATGACAGCCTACAGATTCCCACCTTTTGACATGTTCCTTTTGATACCTTTACATTTTAGTCATTTAGCAGACGCTCTTATCCAGAGCGACTTACAGTTAGTACCTGCTAAATAAGTTTGGAATTTGTGGCTTGGTCTTTCTGCAAGACCTCAAACCTTCATTTGCATGTGTTCGCTCTGTGTTATGTAAATGGTTGTCCTTGAGATTTTCGGGGGTATTTCATCATAGGTATCACTTCATTCATTGATTCTTCCCTTACAACTCTTTCTGTACCAGGAGCAGCCACTAGGGTGTACTGTATAGCTTGCCATTGTCACATCCAGACATTGTCCATATGTGGCACTGGACCAGGGGAGGGGGAGAAGGTGTCTTGGGAATGATCCGGAAGGTTCATGTGTTACAGGCCAAACAAGTAGTTTGCTACTTTTAGCTATTACCAACACATTTAAGTGTATATATGCCCTGACTTGCCTAGTTAAATATATTAAAATGAAGAAGGTCCTGACAGCTGTTGACACAATGCATGCTATTTGAGTGGACTACGACAGAGTAATACAAAAAAGGGGGTCGTTGTCCCACTGGCTATCCTAAGTTGAATGCACCAATTTGTAAGTCGCTCTGGATAAGAGCGTCTGCTAAATGGCGTAAATGTAAATACAGTCGGTGCATTGGATGATCTGTGAATTAATTATTGGAATTGTGAAGGTGCATTTTGGCCCCTAACTAATTTCACTTTTCCTTTCTCTTTCCCCCCTTCAGAGATGCTGCGTCTACCCACAGTGATGAGACAGATGAGGCCAGTCAGCAGGGCCCTGGCCCCCCACCTCACCCGGGCCTACGCCAAGGACGTCAAGTTTGGAGCCGATGCTCGGGCCATGATGCTGAAGGGAGTGGATCTGCTGGCTGATGCTGTCGCCGTCACCATGGGACCCAAGGTAGGAGAGGAAGGAGTTACTATGACCACAGGTTCTGGTATTGTGGTGCCAAATAAAATAAACAATTCTGTACGATTTTTAAATTTCACCCTGATTTCATGGAATGTACGAAACTGCTATGTAAAACCAATCCATTAGTGTTCCACTTTTCATTTGAATCTAATTTCCACCCGAAGAACCCTGTGCACCACAGTGTCTTGTTCCAGGTGCTGTTTCTGGCAGGAACAACTGAACACCAGTGTTACAAGTGTTTTGAGCTGTACCCTTTCCCCCTCCCTTCCTGCAGGGTCGCACAGTCATCATCGAGCAGAGCTGGGGCAGCCCCAAGGTGACCAAGGACGGCGTCACTGTAGCCAAAGCCATCGACCTGAAGTGCAAGTACCAGAACATTGGTGCCAAGCTGGTCCAGGACGTGGCCAACAACACGAATGAGGAAGCAGGAGATGGCACCACCACCGCCACCGTGCTGGCCAGAGCTATTGCCAAGGAGGGCTTTGACAGCATCAGTAAAGGAGCTAACCCTGTGGAGATCCGCCGTGGTGTCATGCTGGCTGTGGAGACCGTCATCAATGAGCTGAAGAGGATGTCCAAGCCAGTCACCACCCCTGAGGAGATTGCCCAGGTAACCAATTCTGTTAAGAATATTGATTGATCAAATAAGTCAATATTCTTATAAATTCATATCTATTCAATTGATGCAAATCATTCTTGATTTGAGACAGATGCAATATCTATATGTATATTCTACTTTATATATTAAGAGAACCTTTTTGATGGTGAATGTAACGTTTTCAATGCTTTCTGTTCTGTCTGCTAGGTGGCCACCATCTCTGCTAATGGAGACGTGGAGATCGGCACCATCATCTCCAACGCCATGAAGAAAGTGGGCCGTAAGGGAGTCATCACTGTCAAGGATGGCAAAACCCTTTATGATGAGCTTGAGATCATTGAGGGGCTGAAGTTCGACCGCGGATACATCTCCCCTTACTTCATCAACACAGCCAAAGGTAAGGTCCCCTGTCTGCCATGACCCTACCACCAATCCCATCTTCTGCTATTTTGGGGCTTTAAGATTAAAAGGAACTCCAGCACACTGATGATCTTGATGCTCTACAGATTTAATGGGTTTTTATGATCTTGATGCTCCACATTTGGCCATTTTGGAGCTTTTACATGAACCCTCTCCCTCATCTCTGCCCCTCAGGCCAGAAGTGTGAGTTCCAGGATGCCTATGTGTTGCTGAGCGAGAAGAAAATCTCCACTGTCCAGAGCATCGTCCCTGCCCTGGAATTGGCCAACCAGCACCGCAAACCTCTGGTCATCGTGGCTGAGGATGTGGATGGAGAGGCCCTCAGCACCCTGGTCCTCAACAGGTCAGTTCCCTGTGCCTTTAGCACCCTGTGTCTCAGAGTAGCAGTTCTGATCTGGGATCAGTTTGGGCTTTTTTTGTAATTCATCTTGTTCTGGAGGCAGCTCTGCAGAGTGGTCACTAGCTGGCACAGCCACAGTCATAAAATCTGATTTTAAATCTAACCTTATCCACATTGCTAACCCTAATGCCTGACCTTAAATTAAGATTTTTGTTTTCATGAATTATTACAATATAGCCAGTTTTCACTTTGCAGCTGGCCTATCTAAGGGGAGATCGCTCAGTTCTGCCTCCAGGACAAGACTCAAGACAATAAACGTCAACCTGCAAATTCATCACGAACCCTCTTATTAATCAGAACACAACTTGAGTGAGATAAAAATAGGATACAAGGAGTTTTACTATGACTTCAACAGTGCACGGCCAGACAAACCAAATCTCGGGCACTGGGAAGGAACATTTTTAAAGGGCCAACTTTTGGCATCGGAAACATCTTTGCAGTTTAAGCTAATTTCCTGCAATACTACACATTTTGCCATGAGGCTGATAATTTTGCAGTTTTAAAGCTTAAATTACAGTGCATTCATGCAAACACATTTTGGGGGAATACAAGACGTATTGAATTGAAAAATGTATAATTGGTGGAGTACTCTGGTTACCAGTATCCCTGTAGGCCTCCCAGTCCCATGTTGCCCAGGGTTAAGAAATTGTATAGATTCCCAATATTTTATTACACACTCTAAACGTATTCCGCGGATCCCACTTTGAGAGCCTGTGTTATATTAACCACCACTCTTTCTTTAGGCTGAAGGTGGGACTGCAGGTGGTGGCAGTCAAGGCCCCAGGCTTTGGAGACAACAGGAAGGCCCAGCTGCATGACATGGCCGTCGCCACCGGGGGCACTGTAAGATTACTTTTACAATAGAACCACCCCATGGTTACATTAGTCTATCATTACTGTAAGAAAACTTTTACACCAACCACCCCATACTTGCATCAGTCCATTTCGATTTGAGAAAACAAATTGTAAAGCAGGATGTTACAGTGCAGTTCTGTCATTCCCCCTTCCACACAGAAACATGTCTCCTACTATCCTTGTCTGACTGCATGCCAGGCAGGGACGCCTGGTCTGACACTTCTACACTGGCATGATTTGTCAATTAATAGAGTTTGTGTAGTCTTGCTTATCCCATGGTTGAGGCTTTAACTTGGCCCTGTTCTAATATTGGACAGAACAGCACTGCAACTTATCCTGCTTTACAATCTGTTCCACTTAATTTCTACCAGCATGTTAAATGTGCAACCAGTGGGGAAAATAACTCTAGACCACCTTTACTCCACACACAGAGACGCGTACAAAGGTCTCCCTCACCCTCTATTTGGCAAATCTGACCACAACTCTATCCTCCTGATTCCTGCTTTATAAGCAAAAACTAAAGCAGGAAGCACCAGTGACTCGGTTAATAAGGAAGTTGTCAGATGACGCAGATGCTAAGCTACAGGACTGTTTTGCTAGCACAGACTGGACTATGTTCCGGGATTCTTCCGGATAGCATTGAGGAGTATACCACATCAGTCACTGGCTTCATCAATAAGTGTATAGTGGATGTCGTCCCCACAGTGACGTACATACAATACCGTTCAAAAGTTTGGGGTCCCTTAGAAATGTCCTTGTTTTTGAAAGAAAAGCAATTTTTTTTTGTCCATTAAAATAACATCAAATTGATCCGAAATACAGTGTAGACATTGTTAATGTTGTAAATGGCTATTGTAGCTGGAAACGGCTGATTTTTAATGGAATATCTACATAGGCGTAGAGGCCCATTATCAGCAACCATCAGCCCTGTGTTCCAATGGCACGTTGTGTTTGCTAATCCAAGTTTATCATTTTAAAAGGCTAATTGATCATTAGAAAACCCTTTTGCAATCATGTTAGCACAGCTGAAAACTGTTGTGCTGATTAAAGAGGCAATAAAACTGGCCTTCTTGAGACTAGTTGAGGATCTGGAGCATCAGCAATTGTGGGTTCGATTACAGGCTCAAAATGGCCAGAAACAAAAACTTTCTTCTGAAACTTGTCAGTCTATTCTTGTTCTGAGAAATGAAGGCTATTCCATGCGAGAAATTGCCAAGAAACTGAAGATCTCGTACAACGCTGTGTACTACCCCCTTCACAGAACAGCGCAAACTGGCTCTAACCAGAATAGAAAGAGGAGTGGGAGGCCCCGGTGCACAACTGAGCAAGAGGACAAATACATCACAGTGTCTAGTTTGAGAAACAGGCGCCTCACAGGTCCTCAACTGGCAGCTTCATTAAATAGTACCCGCAAAACACCAGTCTCAACGTCAACAGTGAAGATGCTGACCTTCTTGGCAGAGTTGCAAAGAAAAAGCCATATCTCAGACTGCCCATCTTAATCTTTTATTTTTATTGGCCAGTCTGAGATATGGCTTTTTCTTTGTACATACTCCAACCAGAAGCCATGGATTACAGGCAACATCCGCACTGAGCTAAAGGGTAGAGCTGCCGCTTTCAAGGAGCGGGACTCTAACCCGGATGCTTATAAGAAATCCCGTTATGCCCTCCGAACCATCAAACAGGCAAAGAGTCAATACAGGACTAAGATTACCAGGACGTGTACTCCGAGCATGCGCTGACCAACTGGCAAATGTCTTCACTGACATTTTCAACATGTCCCTGACTGAGTCTGTAATACCAACATGTTTCAAGCAGACCACCATAGTCCCTGTGCCCAAGAACACTAAAATAAGCTGCCTAAATGACTACCGACCCGTAGCACTCACGTCTGTAGCCATTAAGTGCTTTGAAAGGCTGGTCATGGCTCACATCAACACCATTATCCCAGAAACCCTAGACCCACTACAATTTGCATACCGCCCCAACAGATCCACAGATGATGCAATCTCTATTGCACTCCACACTGCCCTTCCCACCTGGACAAGAGGAACATCTACATGAGAATGCTATTCATTGACTACAGCTCAGCGCCATAGTGCCCTCAAAGCTCATCAATAAGATAAGGACCCTGGGACTAAACACCTCCCTCTGCAACTGGATCCTGGACTTCCTGACGGGCTGCCCCCAGGTGGTAAGTGTAGGTAACAACACATCTGCCACGCTGATCCTCAACACGGGGGCCCTCAGGGGTGTGTGCTCAGTCCCCTACTGTACTCCCTGTTCACCCATGACTGCATGGCCAGGCACGACTCCAACACCATCATTAACTTTGCCAACAACACAACAGTGGTAGGCCTGTAGGGAGGAGGTCAGAGACCTGGCTGTGTAGTGCCAGGATAACAACCTCTCCCTCAACATGATCAAGACAAAGGAGATGATTGTGGACTACAGGGGGAAAAAGAGGACTGAGCACGCCCCCATTCTCATCGACAGGAAAAAGAGGACTGAGCACGCCCCCATTCTCATCGACAGGGCTGTAGTGGAACAGGTTGAGAGCTTCAAGTTCCTTGGTGTCCACCTCGCCAACCAACTATCATGGTCCAAACACACCAAGACAGTCGTGAAGAGGGCACGACAAAGCCTATTCCCCCTCAGGAGACTGAAAAGATTTGGCATGGGTCCTCAGATCCTCAAAGTTCTACAGCTGCACCATCGAGAGCATCCTGACTGGTTGCATCACCGCCTGGTATGGCAACTGCTCGCCCCCCCCCCCCCCCCCCCCTCGCTTTTACGCTGCTGCTACTCTGTTTATTATCTATGCATAGTCACTTTAACTCTACCCACATGTACATATTACCTCGACTAACCGGTGCCCCCGCACATTGACTCTGTACCGGTAACCCCTGTATATAGCCTCCCTGCTGCTCTTTAATTATTTGCTTTTTTTCTTAACTGCATTGTTGGTTAAGGGCTTGTAAGTAAGCATTTCACTGTTGTATTCGGCGCATGTGACAAATTCAAATTTTATTTGAAAGTGCACCGTCCATGCCACTCTTGAAAGATGGATGCCATTTTTAAATGTTCAATTAGGACCAATGTATACCAGTTCAAATCCTGCCATTTACTGACATCCCTCTTCCTTCTCTTCCTTAGGTGTTTGGTGATGAGGCGGTGGGCATTGCCCTGGAGGACATCCAGGCCCATGACTTTGGCAAGGTTGGCGAGGTGTCCGTCACCAAGGACGACACCATGCTGCTGAAGGGGAAGGGAGACACTGCGGCCATCGAGAAGCGCCAGGCAGAGATCATTGAGCAGCTGGAGAACACCACTAGCGACTACGAGAAGGAGAAGCTCAACGAGAGGCTGGCCAAGCTGTCTGACGGAGTGGCTGTGCTCAAGGTCAGTCAGGGCAGGGGTCAAGGGGGAGTGGGTCAGAGGGGAAGGGGTCAGCAGCTGCATGGAGGGGGACATATGATCGTAGAGGGAAATTGATTTGATTACTTTTTGTCCTTTTAATGTCCCTGAATATTGTCCAGTTTTAGTCTAGGCAAATGAAATTAGGTAGGATGAGTTAAAATTAGGAGATTCCTACTCTAAGACAAGATTTACAGTTGCCATGCATGGCAGAGAAAGCGAGTGTCGCTGACTGTTCTGTTCCAGGTAGGAGGAACGAGTGATGTGGAGGTGAACGAGAAGAAGGACCGTGTGAACGACGCCCTGAATGCCACCAGGGCCGCTGTGGAGGAGGGCATCGTGCCCGGGGGTGGCTGTGCCCTGCTGCGCTCCATCCCTGCTCTGGATGCACTCGTGCCCATTAACACTGACCAGAAGATTGGTAAGTAGAGTTCCTACTCTGGATCTTTTTACATTTTTTAATTTCATTTAACCTTTATTTAACTAGGCAAGTCAGTTAAGAACACATTCTTATTTACAATGACGGCCTACACCGGCCAAACCCGGACGACACTGGGCCAATTGTGCGCCGCCCTATGGGACTCTCAATCACGGCCGGTTGTGATACAGCCTGGACATCTGCTAAATGACAAAAAAAAAAATAATAGAACCGGGGGTCTGTAGTGACGCCTCAAGCACTGAGATGCAGTGCCTTAGACCTCTGCGCCACTCGGGAGCCCATCTTAACCTAACATGCCAATAGGTTTTAATTTGGGCTGTAAAGTTGGACACATGGGAGTGGTGGGATATGTAAAAATGTATTTCAAACTTCTGGTCATAAGTATTGTAGCTTAACTTGGTGTATCACTTCCTCTGTCTCCATAGGAATTGACATCATTAGACGAGCCCTGCGTGTGCCAGCCATGACCATTGCGAAGAACGCAGGTGTGGAGGGCTCTCTAGTGGTAGAGAAGATCCTTCAGGCCGCGGGGGAGATTGGATACGATGCCATGGAGGGAGAGTACGTCAACATGGTAGAGAAGGGCATCATCGACCCCACCAAGGTATGGATGCTTCAGCTCGGCACTACACTGTCGTTTCACTATCGTTCACCCAGCACACAAAATATAAAGACAGGTTCATTTTTAGTGATTGGAAATGTACAGCAGTAATGTTTGCAAAAGTTATTTGAATTCATACAAGATTGTATTGGATACAAGCGCTCATTGTGCAAATGTGTCTGTTTTTAATAAACAGTTGGAGACTAAATGTAGTTTACATGTTGTCAAATCTAAGCCAACCCTTTGTTTTGCCCCATAGTTGCACACACGTCTGTTTTGTTGCTAAGCAACCAACCCATCTAAAAAAAAAAAATTCTACTCACATTATGGTGTATGCCAGGGTTCTTCAATTCCGGTCCTGGAGGGCCAAAACACTTCTGTTTATTATTTCTACCTGGCAGTTAATTGCACTCACCTGGTGTCCCAGGTCTGAATTAGCCCCTGATTAGAAGGAGAGGATGAAAAACAGAGATGGCTCGGCCCTCCAGGACCGGAATTGAAGAACTCTGGTGTATGCTTTGGCTAGACTGACATGGCATAGACAGAAGTTGGCTGATAGTGGTATCACATGTTCTCTGCTGATTTTGCTCCCTTTGCCAGAGAATGTCTGTATTACAACAATGACTGAGTGTCTGTCTCCCCCTACAGGTGGTAAGGACTGCACTAATGGATGCTGCAGGTGTTGCTTCTCTGCTCTCCACCGCCGAGTGTGTGGTCACAGAGCTGCCCAAGGATGAGAAGGAGGGTGGCATGCCAGGGGGCATGGGAGGTATGGGAGGTATGGGAGGTATGGGAGGCATGGGCGGTGGCATGTTCTAAGGCTCACCTCAAAGTGCTGTTTAGACTTAATGGCAGCGTGGGGCTAGGGGGCAAATTGTCCCTCCAACCCCCAGACCTGCCCAAACAGACTGGCCATGAGTTTGTTGGAGCTGCAAATGGATAAACCCTACTACTTCTGCTGATTGTCTCCCCTCCACCCACTCTGTAAAACCGGACCAGCCTCGCCTGTCCTCGCCCAGCCTTACTCCGTCCCTCTACCCACACCTGACTGAGGCTCTGACAGACCTCCCCTCCTCTGTTTACCTCAAACATAGCAGTCTCATCATCCATCCTCAACATGGAAAATAGTATTGAATATAGTGCAATGTTCACTGTCAATTAGTAAAATGCTCACCAGTGAGAATAATGCAATGCTGTAATTGATATCAAATGGATGTAATGAAGCCTGTTTGTGTGCACTACTGTAACCTGAAGTTCAAAAGATAAGGCTGATAGAAAATGGTAAAACACAGTATAGATGTAACACTATTGATTTATAGAGGAGGGGGGAGGGGGTTGCTGGAACAGTCAGTCTATTTTTGCTTTAACTTAGTTAATTTCAGTTGTCCTTTAAAAAAAGTGTTTTGTCCTGTTTCACCCACAATGTTGGAAGGAACCATAACCTTTTCAGTTGAGTTAATTAGAAACAATTCTTGCTGAGCATGAGCATTTTCTTAGTGTCTGACCTGATTTTAATACTCATATTATATAACTTTGGAACTGAAAGATGAATTCATATCAGAATTCGATACACCTTTTACTAAGAAACATGACCTTATGATTGGGTAAGAGTGCCTTGTTTACTAGTAATTTAGCGGAGGGGACAGCTTAATGTGCATTAAAATCAGCTAAATGTGTTTCTGGCAGAGGGAGGGGGCAGTTTGCAGAGGTTGACTGGGTGGGTAGGTAGGTATGTGTGTCAGACTAGTTGCAGCAGTTTGGGCCAGTGAAGGTCTCAGCCACAAGTTTTAATGTGAAACCCATTTGTGTCCTCATGACCTGATTTGTACTTCCTGCTCATGACATTTAGCATACATTTTATTTGCTGTGTGTTTAATAGGAGCATAAACTACCGTGCGTGCAAGCAAGTGTTAAGCTGTGCTACTCTACTTTTTTTTCCCCCCCAGTATGTTATTTTTTTTCAAACAACCTTGATCATTCGACATGTTTTGTACAATGTAGACAGATTTTTATTTAATAAAATCAAATGTTCTGAAGGAACTAGTGTATTGTGCTTTTTTGATGACCTAAGATACCCCTTCAGAATATCTGCCAAATATATACTGAACTAGAATTGACAAATACATTTGAGGTTCATTAATTACATTATGCATTACTCACTACCAGGTTCCAAACTGCCTCTGGACGCAACGTCAGCACAAGAACTGTTCGTCGGGAGCTTCATGAAATGGGTTTCCATGGCCGAGCAGCCACACGCAAGCCTAAAATCACCATGCGCCATGCTAAGTTTCGGCTAGAGTGGTGTAAAACTCGCCGCCATCGGACTCTGGAGCAGTGGAAACGCGTTCTCTGGAGTGATGAATCACGCTTCACCATCTGGCAGTCCGACGGATGAATCTGGGTTTGGCAGGAGAACGCTACCTGCCCCAATGCATAGTGCCAACTGTAAAGTTTGGTGGAGGAGGAATAATGGTCTGGGGCTGTTTTTCATAGTTCGGGTTAGGCCCCTTAGTTCCAGTGAAGGGAAATATTAATGGTACAGCATACAATGGCATTCTAGATGATTCTGTGCTTCCAACTTTGTGGCAACAGTTTGGGGAAGGCCCTTTCCTGTTTCAGAATGACAATGCCCCCGTGCACAAAGCGAGGTCCATACAGAAATTGTTTGTCGAGATCGGTGTGGAAGAACTTGACTGGCTTGCACAGAGCCCTGACCTCAACCTCATTGAACGCTGACTACGAGCCAGGCCTAATTGCCCAACCTCACTAATGATCGTGGCTGAATGGAAGCAAGTCCCCACAGCAATGTTAACATCTAGTGGAAAGCCTTCCCAGAAGAGTGGAGGCTGTTATAGCAGCAAAGCATACACCAACTCCATGTGGTGTATGTAACAAATATTTTTATAACTAACCCAAGGTAGACCACAGCCTGTCGTTTCCAATGGGAGCAAATTAATCCTAGTGGGCAGAACAAGCTAGGACGTGGGCAGAACGTCTACTCTGTGAAGTGCATGTGTGCTTTGGCAAAGTGTAAAGTCTACAAAATGAAGTCCACTCTGTTCGTAACAGATTGTAGTTTTGGAAACAGAAAACTGTACTGAGATCAAATGTTTAATCGATGAGAAAATTAGAACTTCAGCCAAAATCCATCTCGCGCCATCTTCTCCCACTGCCGGCCACTGGGCTTGGCATTTATACATCTGCTTAAATATCTGTCTAATTGTTGGTATAATTAATTGTTCTGTGTATGTAGTATTAAAAAATGTCACACCAGATTATCTGTTTTAGAGGGTCAGCCCTCAAGAGCAGACAGATGTATTCACCTTGTCAGCTCAGGCATTCGAACCGCTAGGCTACCTGACACCTGTACTAGGATAGTATTAGTATCTTACCTCAAGGCAAGGGCCATATGGCCCTAGTCAGGCAACTCAAAATACACCAGTCTATGGTATTTTGTTATATGATTTCTGCCCTTGGTTTAGGACAATTGGTTCATATTGTGTTTGTGGTTCTGTATGTCCAGCAGGAGTCATAACTCCCATAAAATGTCAGTTCTATTTTTACCTCACATGACTCCATCTTTTGTCCAATGGTCAGCCATTGTGAAGTTCGTACCTCAGTCAAAATCTACCAGATGTTAACTAACATTGGGCTTGTTTGACATTGCAGGTGAATCAAGACTGACTGAGCTACAAATCGCCTTTGTGGGGATCTATTTTCTTATAACTAGATGTGATGCCTAGCTTAGAAAGAATACATTAATGATTAAACATAATAGGTTTGTGCTGTACTGATATACATTGTTTAACATAAGCTGTGATTAATGTGAGGAACCGTTAGGGGTTAGGCTGAGACAGACTTGTGACACACACACTGGCTCTTTGTTAAACTGCTCAAGGACATGTGTACTGCTACAATGAAAAAGAACAAACTACAGTGGGGAAAAAAGTATTTATTCAGCAAATTATGGTGGAAAATAAGTATTTGGTCACCTACAAACAAGCAAGATTTCTGGCTCTCACAGACCTGTAACTTCTTCTTTAAGAGGCTCCTCTGTCCTCCACTCGTTACCTGTATTAATGGCACCTGTTTGAACTTGTTATCAGTATAAAAGACACCTGTCCACAACCTCAAACAGTCACACTCCAAATCCACTATGGCCAAGACCAAAGAGCTGTCAAAGGACACCAGAAACAACATTGTAGACCTGCACCAGGCTGGGAAGACTGAATCTGCAATAGGTAAGCAGATTGGTTTGAAGAAATCAACTGTGGGAGCAATTATTAGGAAATGGAAGACATACAAGACCACTGATAATCTCCCTCGATCTGGGGCTCCACGCAAGATCTCACCCCGTGGGGTCAAAATGATCACAAGAACGGTGAGCAAAAATCCCAGAACCACACGGGGGGACCTAGTGAATGACCTGCAGAGAGCTGGGACCAAAGTAACAAAGCCTACCATCAGTAACACACTACGCCGCCAGGGACTCAAATCCTGCAGTGCCAGACGTGTCCCCCTGCTTAAGCCAGTACATATCCAGGCCCGTCTGAAGTTTGCTAGAGTGCATTTGGATGATCCAGAAGGGGATTGGGAGAATGTCATATGGTCAGATGAAACCAAAATAGAACTTTTTGGTAAAAACTCAACTCGTCGTGTTTGGAGGACAAAGAATGCTGGGTTGCATCCAAAGAACACCATACCTACTGTGAAGCATGGGGGTGGAAACATCATGCTTTGGGGCCGTTATTCTGCAAAGGGACCAGGACGACTGATCCGTGTAAAGGAAAGAATGAATGGGGCCATGTATCGTGAGATTTTGAGTGAAAACCTCCTTCCATCAGCAAGGGCATTGAAGATGAAACGTGGCTGGGTCTTTCAGCATGACAATGATCCCAAACATACCGCCCGGGCAACGAAGGAGTGGCTTCGTAAGAAGCATTTCAAGGTCCTGGAGTGGCCTAGCCAGTCTCCAGATCTCAACCCCATAGAAAATCTTTGGAGGGAGTTGAAAGTCTGTGTTGCCCAGCGACAGCCCCAAAACATCACTGCTCTAGAGGAGATCTGCATGGAGGAATGGGCCAAAATAAATAATATAATAATAAGCCATTTAGCAGACGCTTTTATCCAAAGCGACTTACAGTCGTGCGTGCATACATTTGTGTATGGGTGGTCCCGGGGATCGAACCCACTACCTTGGCGTTACAAGCGCCGTGCTCTACCAGCTGAGCTACAGAGGACCAAAAATACCAGCAACAGTGTGTGAAAACCTTGTGAAGACTTACAGAAAACGTTTGACCTGTGTCATTGCCAACAAAGGGTATATAAAAGTATTGAGAAACTTTTGTTATTGACCAAATACTTATTTTCCACCATAATATGCAAATACATTCATTAAAAATCCTACAATGTGATTTTCTGGATTTCTTTTCTCATTTTGTCTGTCATAGTTGACGTGTACCTATGATGAAAATTACAGGCCTCTCATCTTTTTAAGTGGGAGAACTTGCACAATTGGTGGCTGACTAAATACTTTTCCCCCCCACTGTATGTCTGAGGTTGCTGACTCGAGACAAGTTGTAAAGATAACAACTAATGCCCGGCAACAGTGAAGCGCCAAGGGACTGGGACCAGCCTGAGCGCCAACGATAGGTTGGGTAAGTTTAAACCACACCCTGCCTCTATTCTGACAGGCCCAGCAGGGAGCGGGAACTATCTCTGTCAGATTATTTAAAGGAGAACTTATAACAATAGCTCAGTTCTCTGACTGCCCTGCGTGGTGTTTCAGTGAGCCCGTATATACGAACATCATATTTACCATTCAAGTGTTTGCATTAATTAAAATACTAGTCTCTTAGAAGACGTGTATTGACCTCTTTTTGCTCCTATACCAGATTTGAATTGACGCAACTTGAAACCTTACATAATTAATAACTTCACAGTATTTGTAGATCAGTCGTCAATCACAATTTACATTTACGTCATTTAGCAGACGCTCTTATCCAGAGCGACTTACAAATGTACCCACAATGCATCACAGATTTAATCCACTGGAGCATGCCCATTAACTCTAACACACAGAAAACACCCAGACTTGGCTCAGTTCAATTTTTATATAAAAATAGTTTCTAAACCATGCAGTCGATACATCTTCACCCATTTGACACATTGAAACACCTCCATTTGCACTATAAAATCCAATCCAAAAAAATCATAGTTCTGTCAGCAAGTTCAGTGTGCACTCTTCTCATCCGTGGTCTTAAAACAATATCTACATGTGTTCTCACATTCATCTTAATAAATATCTTTATATGAGTATAATGCATAATGATATAAAATAAAATATAAAGATGCCACTAGGACCATGTCAAAAAGCCACTGGGTGAAAAGGTTCTAGGGTGTTAAGATGACTCCCTGTGATAGTAAGCATTCTGACTGGCAGACAGAGGCAGCATCCAAAACTGCACCCTATTCCCCATTATATATATAGTGCACTACTTTTGACCAGGACCCGCAGGGTTCTGTTCAAAAGTAGTGCACAATGTAAGGAATAGGGTGCCAATTAGGACAGAGTTGATGACCCCGTCACCTGCCTAACCCATCTGGGCCCCTTTTAAAATATTGCTAGCGAAAAATTAGCTGCATTTAAATGTGTTATGATATTGCAGACTTTAAGAACTAGACTCTGCTACAAAACATTGCTCCCATGGTGGTTAGAGAGCAAGGATCTATATGGGGGGGGTCAGCAGAAATGCCCCCAGTGATATTGTTGTAACACAGCACCTCTTGAACAGGTGTGTGTAGGTAGGCATGGCAGTGTGTATACATCTGGAGTGTAATCATTGGCCCAAACAGTTGCAAAACGTTTTTGCAACGGTTGGACAAACTCAGGTTGGTCCCTCCCAGTTTTGTTCAGTTCACGAAACATTTTGCAACAGAATCGGCGTAATGAATATACCCCTGCTCTGCAGTGTTGTTACATTCCTTTAGGAAACAACGATCTTCAAGTGCTTACATTGTCCCCACACTTCATTCAAAAGGACAGTGACAAACCAGCTTTCTTTAAAAAAAATGTTCACCCTGATCCTTTGATATCCTCCATCTTATCCACATGACAACCTAGCATTCGGTTACTGTATGTTATGTGATAGATTTGTTACAATAACAATGCAGATAGCTTGGATGGGCCTTCACAACCTCTTGGCCTGATCAGGACATGAGAACCCCACACCCTTTCCCCTGATCTCCCTAACACAGTACCTTACACACAGCCTTTCACTATCAACTGACTTTTATTGTGGCCTTAGTAGAAGAGTTATCATAAGAGGGGCATTATGAGCCATGTCCTAAGACCACCCCATGGGGCCAGCACAAAGCTCTGGGGTGTATCTACTCCCAGCCAGAGGTGCTGATGGTTTCTTTGGGGAGAAGGGGCGCCAGGAGGGGACCATGGTGGCATAGGAGGAGGAGGAGTGATGTATGTTTGGGAGAGGGGTAGGGGACAGAAGGGGATTATTTGGGCTAGGGAGGGGGATAATGTTCAGGACAGAATCCAGCTGCAGGCAGTTGGGAATAAAATCATTGGTCGTGTTATGATAAGGCACTGCCGTGTTCAGGCACATAACCTCTTCTCTCCTCCCCCTCCCTCTCTTTATCCCTCCCACGCTCTCTCATCCCCCTCCCTCTCTTCATGCTGTGTGTGTGTGTGAAGAGAAGACGCATTGGGGCGCTACGTGTGGTGGACCTCGTGAAACATGAGCTCTTGGGGGATCATGGTCTGGGCTCCATACAGTTTACCGGCCCGCCTCTCAAAAGCTGACACGTTCTGCTTCACCACCTCGTCAAAGAACACCGTGGCCAGCTGGGAGTGCAGCAGAGAGCGGAACTCAAAGGAGATCTGGAGAGAGAGTGTTCGGGTGAAAAAGTGATATGAGGATACGGAAAATGTGCCAGAGATATAGTTTCAAGCTATTCATGTCACGTGCACAAGTACAAACTGGCACATTTTCTGTCTGTCTGAGATACATGGCAAGCTAGCTACCTCATTCGCAGACAGACTCATACACGGACACAGACAAACTGACAGTGTGTTGAGGTACTTACAGAGAAGTCGACGGTGCAGGTGCGAGGGTAGCCAGGGAGGCCAGGGCTGAAGCGCCACACAGTCTCCAGGTGGTTGAAGAGCTTACCGTCTGAACAGGCAGCCTGGGGGTCAACACAGCCAGTCAGACTGGGACACTGCTGATATTACCAGTGGCTGCGTTCCAGGTCGTCTTTATTACAGGCGTACTAAGAATCTCATAGGACTGCTATATAATATTTATGTGGTTCCGGAGATGTTGAAACACTTCTCCAGAATTTGACATCTGAGCAACACAACTGCAATTAAAACAACCTGGAGCACACCCAGTATCCATCTATATCACAGCTGCTTATCTTATACTAGCCAGGTACCCTGCGGATACAGTAGTGGTGAGAGATAGCAGCGGCTACTACAGTATCTTACCTTTACCAGGTGGGGGCGCACTGTGGTGACCAGCGAGGTGTAGTTCTCCACTACGGGGGGGAAGCCAACGGTCAGCTTGGCCTTGCAGAACCCTGAGCGCCGGAACACCACGTCAGACTTCTTACACCAGGGAACGAAGTGAAGGTAGTTCTCCACCCCAGCTACCACTTCATACATCTCCAACATAGAGTACCTAACAGAGAGAGGAGGTCTGGGTCAACAGAGTACCTGACAGAGGTGGTGGCCTGGGTCAACATCTAATTTCATGGGTGAATCTCATAAGTAATTCCTCCATATCTCCTTCTCGAAGCACAGAGGAGAAGATCGGACGTTCCTCCTCAAGAACGTTTGAGATTCACCTCTGATTAAAACTGGAATTTCAATACCCGTTTCAGTGCATGACTGGAATGACATTAACACAAGTCACCTGCTGTGTGATGAGGTGATTTTGAAGGAGTCAGGCGCAGGAGGGTAAATCACAGAATAACAGGATTTATTCTGAACCACAGTTACACAGTAATGCATAAAAACACTCCAGTGCGCCAAACAGGCACACTGGAAAATACAAGGCACACAGGGAATATTCCCGGCGATACAAAATACATGGAGCTCCACCGAGCTTCTCTCCTCCACAATAAACAATCACACACAAAGACAAGGGGGCAGAGGGAACACTTATACAGGTACTGATGAGGGGATATGAACCAGGTGTGTGTAATAAACAAGACAAAACAAATGGAATGATGAGATGAGGAGCGGCAGTGGCTAGAAGGCCGGTGACGACGAACGCCGAAGCCTGCCCGAACAAGGAGAGGAGGCAGCCTCGGAGGACGTCGTGACATGCTGATTATTCCACAAGCTGTGACCAGTTAGACAGATTGTCAAGGAGAATGCGAGGTTGACTGACAAGGGGGACAGAGTCCCATATAACCCAACAGTCTTTTAAATGTCTTAAATGTCCCAGGGACTAACACAGCCAGTCAGACCATTGCTGTCCCTGCATTACATAACAGCCTGGCAACTAGTCCGGCACACAGTGTCGCTATTAATAGGGTAACATTTCCTAGTGATTATGACTGTCACTTGATACGCAATAGCGTCATTGGCAGGAGCACGACAGACGTACATAGAGAAACCAGATTATCTATACATTTCTAGGAGGCAGACTTGGATTAAAATACTTTCTGTGCTTCATTAAACTTGCCTGTTGCAATGGAACGAATAGAAAACGCCCAAAAGTGCAAACCACGACCGCCAAGCAGGCTAAAGCAGATGTTCAAATTATTTGAAATCTTTCAAATAGTATTTGAACCTAGGCCGGTCTGATTTCAAAGGAGGCGGCACAGTGACTGACCCCATGATGCGTCTCTCAGAGTACTCCTTCCTCTTGTTGAATGTGTCAGCCAGGTTGAAGAAGGAGCGGGTGGGGGCCACGATGACTCTGGGCCTGGGCATGGTCCCCAGAAGGGCCGGCATCCGCGTCATTAGGATCCCACATGAGGAGAGATATCTGTTACAAAACAAGGAGCGAGAGATGTGTGAGTCAGAGCAAAACATAAGGGCCTAGCATTTGCCACACACACAATTTGTACATTGAAATTGGCCAGTTACAGAGTGGCCAAATTCTCTGGACGCCCTTCCCGATAGCTGACCAACTGAACCTTCTGCGCATGTGCGGGATTCCCTACTTTACGCTCCACTGCTCTCTTTACTGCTGCTAGGTGTCGGAGCTTGCAGGGTGCGCTTTTAAAGTTTGATCAAAGCTGAATCAATGCCAAGATCAATGTACAATGCAAGTGGCTGACAATAGAAGTGGCCAATGGTTCATCAGAGCCTCAAAAGGTCTCAGAGCTCATGTTCACACTGCTGGCGTTTACACCATAAATATCAGAGTGAGCTCTATGCTTCTCCAAAACAAAACTACCGTCCAGTGTCTCAGATCAACCGATGTGTAACGGTAATCACATGCCAGACTTTGGTTTGTCAGAGTATATTGAGTATACACTAATGCAAAGTCAACCACTACATTGCATGGCAATACATGAGGAATTCTGCTCTGTTAAACTAGAACACAATCTTGTAGGCTGGGAAGCTGCAGCCTACACATGCGGTTCCAACAACTGGCATTCCAATGGAGTAGCCATGACGAGTCAAATTGTCAGCATGTCTTGTGCTTCATCACATAGTTTAATTAGAAAACTCTGTTCATTACAATGTCATGTACCTCTTGCTTGCCCTTGGACTTTTCCAATTCAACATTCCTGACATTAGAAAGCATGCTATGTGACTAGCCTAATGAAAGGCTTGTCAGCTACAGAGAAAAAGAAAGACAGACAGGGTCCTCCAGGTCTGTCACATTCTCAGTTCAGGGTCAGTGAGCAGTGAGTGAGAATACCGAATTGTGGTTGGTGAGCACACCTGCAACTGCTGCTGCCCCAATGACACCCATAGCCTGCTTGCTCACTCCATACTAATGTGGTTGAAACATCTTTGCCCGAGGGAATCTCTGTCAGAGCTGGTGTGCAACAGGGCAACCTATCAACGCACAATTAGGACTATTCAGACAGTGGTTTAATTCCAACAAAAAGGCAATATGCACAGACACCAATACACATGGGTCTTTCTATAAACTAGGGTACCAGTGAGCATTTATTGTAGTGGACAACTGTTTGGAGTGGTTACAAAGTCATTAATAAATTAGCATTTTCCCCCCACATACATTAAGACAAATGAGGAACATAGACATTCACTATAATTCATGAGTTGAATCAAAACCTAATGTTTAAACCCTTTCTCATGCTTGGGGAGTCTTCACAGATTCGGCAAAAATCGTGTGACAACTACCTCCCCTTACATCTATGACACTGCTGTTTGTCGTTATGTCATATACTAAGCAATTGAATTACACATTTAATTGAATCCTGTAAAATTCCTGGATCTTGCCGTCGGACTCTTTGTATGGAGAGCTCGGAAGTGCACTGTAACCTTGAAACATTTATCTCCCTATGGCACATGTATCCAAAGTAATGTATGGATTGCAAAATCAAATGCTTTTAACAGAGAGTAGCTTTATCAAGATGAATTTGGAAAGGCACACACTTGTCTATATAAAAGGGCCCACAGTTGACCATGCATGTCAGAGCAAAAATGAAGCCATGAGGTCGAAGGAATTGTCCGTAGAGCTCCGAGACAGGATTGTGTTGAGGCACAGATCTGGGGAAGGGTACCAAAACATTTCTGCAGCATTGAAGGTCCCCAAGAACACAGTGGCCTCCATCATTCTTAAATGGAAGAAGTTTAGAACCTCCGAGACCTTTCCTAGTGCTGGCCGCCCAGCCAAACTGAGCAATTGGGGGAGAAGGGCCTTGGTCTGGGAGGTGACCAAGAACACGAGTCACTCTGACAGAGCTCCAGATTTCCTCTGTGGTGATGGGAGAACCTTCCAGAAGTACAACCATCTCTGCAGCACTCCACCAATCAGGCCTTTATGGTAGAGTGGCCAGACGGAAGCCACTCCTCAGTAAAAAAGGCACGTCAGCGCGCTTGGAGTTTGCCAAAAGGCACCTAAAAGGACTCTCAGACCATGAGAAACAAGATGCTCTGGTCTGATGAAACCAAGATTGAACTCTTTGGACTGAATGCCAAGCGTTACATCTGGAGGAAACCAGGCACCACTCATCACCTGGCCAATACCATCCCTACGGTGAAACATGGTGGTGGCAGCATTATGCTGTGGGGATGTTTTTCAGCGGCAGGGACTGGGAGACTAGTCAGGATCAAGGGAAAGATGAACGGAGCAAAGTAGAGAGAGATCCTTAATGAAAACCTGCTCCAGAGCACTCAGGACCTCAGACTTGTGGCGAACGTTCAGTTTCTTTTTCATTCTACAGGAATGTTTAGCATGGCTATAAATGATAGAGAAGTTGACTAAAGCACAAAAAGACCTGGCAACTAGGCATGACAAAGAAACATGGTGTCCATGTTTCTTGTGACATTTGTAATGACATGTAGATGTTTTGTTTTTGCTAGGTGGAGTTATTGTCTCATTGTGCCTACCTATACTTTTATTCCTGTAACTACACATGTGAAGCTGCAAGAAAATCATATTTAAATGTATATCAAACCATTTTGAAATGTTGACCCTGATGTCACACATTGGCCCCCTTATTTATAGAAAGATCCACATAAAAAGTGGACAACTGAAATTAAATACTGTAAATCCCAACTGGCTGAATAGTTGGAACCGGTGGGATCCTGGTGAAAGCCCCTGTTAGTTCCTCACCACAATAGCTGAATGCTCTGATGCTCTGCATTCATTCTGGCTGGGGGGGGGGGGGGGGGGGGAGAGAGAGAAAGAGAGAAGCACGTCAGTGGAGAACTTACTAGTGGTGGCCATCTGCCAGGTCTCAGCAGTTTAGCCACTGCTGTACCTGGCTGGTGGCTGCCACATGGGGACACAATGCCCCTGGAAGCTGGCATTGGGGAGAGGGTCTGATTGGACTACACACTTATTATCACCACTGGGCCGGGTATTATGTCACCGCATAGAGTGAGGAATTCCAAAGTTGTGGGTTCAATGAACTTCAAGACACCGTCAGAATGAGAGCACCTAGGGCCCAATTCCGGCTAGAGTTAAGTGCCCATAAATGGAACTCAATTCCCTTTCATGCACTTCTCTCTACGCGTATTCTGACCTTGAACTTAAGCATGAGTATAGCATGCTATTCACCTGCTATTCGTTTTGGGTGGAGATTGAATAAATGAAGGTGCGGCGGCGGTGTGTCTACAGACACGCCGTATTCGGACCTTTACTTGATTCCCTAATAATTCCAACACCTTCACGCAAGAGGAAACCATGAATAAGGTCTAGCGAACCTAACAGTTCCAAGTGGACAAAGCATTTTCTTTATTTCCCCACCACCGATATAAATAATGCCAAACTCCATGCACTGTAATTTACAACTTGATAAGAGCTAGGTAAATAAGTAATCTGTTTTGATAAGGGAATTTTAAATATTACACTTGTTTTAGATATATTTTACATTATAATTGCTGGAGACAATATATGGCATACATAAACTTTCACCACAGTTTATGAAATGCTGTGCCATTATGCAGAATTTAAAATTGTACGGCCTTTTAACTTGCAGGGAAGGGCACTCTCGAATGTCTTAATTATAGGCTACCCCGACTTTCTCCATTTCTATTATGTTAAATATTAGCCACCATCAGTGTTGATCCTCAGTAGGCCTAGTAACACATATTCAACTGACAATTTAGTCAGTTAGTTCCCTTTCGTTGGGATAGCCTACATTATCACTCCAATTGATTACATTGTTTCGTTTACCTTCATTTGCTTCCTCTGTAAACGCTGTCACGGCCATGTGGTTGTTGCTGAGGATCATTAGTAACAGTTGTTAATAAAAAATAAAGACATTAAATCGTTATGGAACAGCAACCAAGCCGTAACAGTTTGAACCCGAAGCATTGTGCAATACTTGGCTGTGTCATCACAGTTTCATGGTTAGTGCATATTAGTGCAGGCAATAGACATGGGTATAGCCTACTATTGTTCACAAGATCCACGTTTTTTTTTGTTGGTATGTACCAATTGGTGCTGAAATGGAGACTAAAATGAATATACATTAAAACAAACATAAAACGCAACATGCAATAATTTTAAAGATTTTACAGAGTTACCGTTCATATGGAAATCAGTCAATTGAAATAAATTCATTAGGCCCTAATCTATGGTTTTCACATGACTGGGAATACAGATATGCGTCAGTTGGTCACAGATACCTTTTTTTTTTATTTATTACAATACGGCTAGGGGCATGGATCAGAAACACGGGAACTGGAACACGCTGTCGCACACGTCGATCAAGAGCATCCCAAACATGCTCAATGGGTGACATTGTCTGGCGAGTATGCAGGCCATGGAAGAACTGGGACATTTTCAGCTTCCAGGAATTGTGCACAGATCCTTGCGACATGGGGCAGTGCATTATGCTGAAACATGAGGTGATGGCGGCGGATGAATGGCACAACAATGGTCCTCAGGATCTCGTCACGGTATCTCTGTGCATTCAAACTGCCATAGATAAAATGCAATTGTGTTAGTTGTCCATAGCTTATGCCTGCCCATACCATAACCCCACCATGGGGCAATCTGTACACAACGTTGACATCAGCAAACCTCTCGCCCTCACGACACCATACCATCTGCCCGGTACGTTTGAAACCTACTCCCGAGTGGCGCAGTGGTCTAAGGCACTGCATCGCAGTGCTGCTGTGCCACTAGAGATCCTGGTTCGAGTCCAGGCTCTGTCGCAGCCGGCCGCGACCGGGAGACCCATGGGCGGCGCACAATTGGTCCAGCGTTGTCCGAGGTAGGGGAGGGTTTGGCATGCAGGGATGTGGGTTCGTTTCCCACGGGGGGGCCAGTATGAAAAAATACAAAAAGTCGCTCTGGATAAGAGCGTCTGCTAAATGACTAAAATGTAAATCAGGATTAATCCGTGAAGAGCACACTTCTCCAGCGTGCCAGTGGCCATCGAAGGTGAGCATTTGCCCACTGAATTCGGTTATGACGCGAACTGCAGTCAGGTCAAGACCCTGGTGAGGACGATGAGCACGCAGATGAGCTTCCAGAGATGGATTCTGACATTTTGTGCAGAAATTCTTTGGTTGTGCAAAGTGGGTGGCTGGTTCAGACGATCCCACAGGTGAAGAAGCCGGATGTGGAGGTCCTGGGCTGGCGGTTACACGTGGTCTGCGGCTGTAAGGCTGGTTGGATGTACTACCAAATTCTCTAAAACAACGCTGGAGGCGGCTTATGTTAGAGAAATGAACATTCAATCCTCTGGCAACAGCTCTGTTGGACATTCCTGCAGTATGCATGCCAATTACAGGCCCCCTCAAAACTTGAGACATCTGTGACATTGTGTTGCGTGACAGAACTGCATATTTTAAAGTGGCCTTTTATTGTCCCCAGCAGAAGGTGCACCTGTATACTGATCATGCTGTTTAATCAGCTTCTTGATATGCCACACCTGTCAGGTGGATGGATTATCTTGGCAAAGGAGAAATGCTCACTAACAGGGATGCAAACAAATGTGCACAAACTTTGAGAAATAAGCTTTTTGTGCATATGGAACATTTCTGGGATTTTTTTTTATTTCAGCTCATGAAAACATGGGAACAACACTTTATATTTTTGTTCAGTATATTTACCACCTGGGTCCTGTTTCAGTAATAGTGAAACCATTTTTATAGCAGTGGTAAGAACATGCTAATAAAAACTGACCTCTGAGCAAATCAAAAAAAGGTTTGATATACTTCAACTGGTATGCCATCCAGCCATGCAGTTGTCCTCCTTCTGATAACCAGGTGGCGAATCGCATCTCTGCATGTCTGGCAGACATATCAGTATGGATGACGGATCACCACCTCAAGCTGAACCCTGGCAAGACGGCGCTGCTCTTCCTCCCGGGGAAGGACTGCCCGTTCCATGATCTCGCCATCACGGTTGACAACTCCGTTGTGTCCTCCTCCCAGAGTGCGAAGAGCCTTGGCGTGACCCTGGACAACACCCTGTCGTTCTCCGCTAACATCAAGGCGGTGACCCGCTCCTGCAGGTTCATGCTCTACAACATTCGGAGAGTACGACCCTGCCTTACACAGGAAGCGGCACAGGTCCTAATCCAGGCACTTGTCATCTCCCGTCTGGATTACTGCAACTCGCTGTTGGCTGGCCTCCCTGCCTGTGCCATTAAACCCCTACAACTCATCCAGAATGCCGCAGCCCGTCTGGTGTTCAACCTTCCCAAATTCTCTCACGTCACCCCCCTCCTCCGCACACTCCACTGGCTTCCAGTTGAAGCTCGCATCCGTTACAAGACCATGGTGCTTGCCTATGGAGCAGTGAGGGGAACGGCACCTCTGTACCTTCGGGCTCTGATCAGTCCCTACACCCAAACGAGGGCATTGCGTTCATCCACCTCTGGCCTGCTGGCTCCCCTTCCTCTGCGGAAGCATAGTTCCCGCTCAGCCCAGTCAAAACTGTTCGCTGCTCTGGCACCCCAATGGTGGAACAAGCTCCCTCACGACGCCAGGACAGCGGAGTCACTCACCACCTTCCGGAGACATTTGAAACCCCACCTCTTTAAGGAACACCTGGGATAGGATAAAGTAATCCTTCTACCCCCCCCCAAAATTGTAAAGTGGTTATCCCACTGGCTATAGGGTGAATGCACCAATTTGTGAGTCGCTCTGGATAAGAGCGTCTGCTAAATGACGTAAATGTGCCCTTGAGCAAGGCACTTAACCCTAATTGCTCCTGTAAGTTGCTCTGGATAAGAGCGTCTGCTAAATGACTAAAATGTAAATGTCCTGGATTTAAAGGCTTTAATTGCATCAAGAAGTTCCTCCTCTGTAATTTGGCATTCACATAATTGTAAGGATGGGTAGAGACTTAACTTCAGTTACTGGAGATGGAGGAGACTGAAATGCAAACATATGCTTGAAGTACTCCTGAGTGGCGCAGTGGTCTAAGGCACTGCATCGCAGTGCTAACTGTGCCACTAGAGATCCTGGTTCGAATCCAGGCTCTGTCGCAGCCGGCTGCGACCGGGAGACTCATGGGCGGCGCACAATTGGCCCAGCGTCGTCCAGGGTAGGGGAGGGAATGGCCGGCAGGGATGTAGCTCAGTTGATATGGCGTTTGCAACGCCAGGGTTGTGGGTTTGATTCCCACGGGGGGCCAGTATAAAAAAAAAAAAGTTTTAAAAATTATTCACTAACTGTAAGTCGCTCTGGATAAGAGCGTCTGCTAAATGACTAAAATGTACTGTAAATATAAGTACTTTGCTTCCTCTTTCACTAAATTATCATTTGAATTATGGTGACTCCGTCATTTGTAACAAGTTTATGTACATTCTTTTTGGTAGCATTTCTGTGTTGAAGAAAAAAAGTGAATTTATCCCCTTATTCCATCCAGTTTGCTTATTATTTATAACGTATTACACTGGAATAAGTTCCTACAGTTTTGTTTTCCTCAAACTTATTCTGTGCCTCTAAGGTAGTTTTTTTTATTGCCATCTGTACTGTTAGTTCCTCCATTTCCTTCGTTAATATGCACTCTTGACCTACATTTTCTTTTAAAGTTGAGTACTGAATCACATGGCCTCTAAAGACGTTTGAAAGTGTCCCATACAATAAGGGTATCTGCTGTACCTGTTATGTAGGAAAAGGTTAAAAACATAGTTGTCATCCAGTAGGCTGATAACATTTCCAATATCCTCGCCCACTTGGAAATTCTGTAAGAGTAATGGGTATGCCAATTATTTGATGGTCCAACCGCATTCGGTCCCATATCAACACAACTTTTGGTTCCAAATAGCAATGTTACCTGCTCCAAAAAACCCATCCGTTTAAAAACGTATTTAG